TATTCGATGATGTCTTGAAATAATTCACTTATCTTGATACTAATCCGTAGTCAACAAAAAGACGCAATCTTTCTTACTCTAAAATTGTATATCGCTTCTTTGCGTATAAAATCACATATTTAATCTTTGTAACATTTAACAGCGATGCTTAAGATCGAGAATGGCAAGGATTAAATCTTCCTAATATATGTAAATACTCGTTTGAGATAATCTGAAATGACTTTTCTATAGTAACGTAGAGTACATAAAAGGAGAAAAAAGGGAAATATGTTAATGATCTATTGATCTGATTATCTATTTAACATTTTTTCTTTTACATCTATTTATAACTATGCACTCTCGTCGTTTCTTTTTCAAACATTTTGACAACAATGATGATTGATTGAAGGTCACATACTAGTCGGCACTTGACGCCAATTTTTTATGATTTTATATTATTCTGCACGATATCGGCCGATAAGAAAACATCATGTTAGACATTCTTTATCTTGCTAGTTATTCAACTGATCAAATATCATCAAAAATGCGTCAGTGTCAATTGACCTTTAGGTATAAAAGCGACATGATGTAGTACAAAGAAATAAGAAACCGCGAATTTGCCAATTTCCTATATTAGTTGTTCTTATTGGGGATATTCACAGTATAATACATCTCAATATCATTGTCAAGGATATATTTATGTAAGGAGAAGAAGCCAAGGATATATTCTTCTCACCAATGTCACGACATGTGATATTACATGAACGGTTAATGAACACCGATTTGATACATATGAGATATTCCTTTCCTTTTTTTTTCTATCGGATTGTTTTTTTCAGTCGGTGTAAACTTTAGTCGAAATCTTTCGGATGTATCATTTTTCTTGTCATTGCAATGTGAGACAAGGTTATTGTATCAAAACGAAAATTAATTACTATTTGAATCGATGTCTATCAGAACTTTTCTCTTTGTTTTGTGTTTCGATGTTTTAAGTAGAAGATATTTGAGAACGTTTCAACGTGTGTGTGCGATGTTGACCTTCCTCGAAACAAAATGCGGCTTTTTTCCTGAAGTATGTTTTGTGTTTATGAAGTGTAGGAATAACAAAAAAAGAAAATTTTCTTTTCAAAGACTTTTTTTTCGTCAACATTCTCTTCTCCGTGAAACGATCGTATCGGACGACTAGGCATAACGAGTATGATTTCATCGTCATCGTTGTCAGATTGATTTGTTTAGAAATAGATTATGATGGAACGCCTAAATCTTGTTTCTGTGTTTATTTAACAAACTCTATTCTTCATCTTTCGTCGTCTTTGTATTGTGTTGATTGAATTGTTCGTTCGCCACATGTACACATACACACACATATGCGTGCATGCGCGCGTGCACACACACACACTCTCTATCTCTCCCATTCCCCGAGAAACTAGATATTGCGTCATCTTCTATGAACGATATGAGATCAAGTGAAGGTCATTCTTATAAAACGAAACTTGGATTGTAATCAACGATTAACATAAACGTGTTCGAAGAACAACAAACTAGACGAACTCCTGTCATGTCTTCATGACAAACATCTAATCGATAACCTATTGTGATCCATCACTTTCTCATTATATTGTTCTGCCTTCTGTATGTGTATACTTGCTTTCTCTGTACAAAAGAACGAGAAAATGAAGAGAGTGATGGCAGAACAGAATAGATGGTGGCAACAGCGCTATGGGCTTTTTTCTTCTTCTTCTTCTCTTTCTCCTCTCCCTACAGTCGAGACACCGATTTCATCTTACATATATGTGTAGAGAAAGTAACTGTTCGAATACTTGATAAGACACTAACAATCGGTGAGTAAGTCTTTTTGTCGATCTTGACTCGTTCTTCTGTTTTTTCAAATTGAACAGAAGTGACAATGCTAATGAGAATTAGTGCGTCGGAGAGTAAGGAACAAGAGGAAATAGCCTTGTCGTTTTACACGTAATGAAATTTACATAACCATCTTCATTTTCCATTCTGATCGGTACCGATCAAACACTACACTATGCTAAATATAGTTTCACTCTTTTTTTCTTTTTTCTCCCTTTCTTCTTGTGTATGTCATAAAATGAGCAAAGAACTAACTTGTCCGATCATTTATCATAATAAAATACCTTCGATCAAGTAAGACATTAAGTAAACATTTCGACATATGTACATACAATAATATTTAAGAGAAAGACGATGTAAAACTCCTAATTTCATGTTTACATATTTAGCATCAATAATAATGATGATCTATTTCTAAATCGACATACATCTGTATAGTCTAGCCGAGATGAATCGAAACATCGATAAGCATTATTACAGTTTTGTCACATCTAATTTGTTATAGGACATACGAAATATTTATGACAACAGAAGGATACAATCAGAGGTATCATAATTGAATTGAATAGTCTCATTTTGAATATCTTATCATCGATACATCTGTTCTCACTAAAGACGTATCGATCGAAGTAAATAACGATTTTTTCTCTCATGTTTTAGAAAATGCAGCTAGCGATTGCGCTCTACAACAACGATGTCGACGATGAAGATGAATTAGAATTTCGTAAAGGTGATATTTTAACTGTATTGATTGAAAATCCGAATGGTCTCAACGGTTGGTGGTTGTGTCAGCATAAGGGAAAATGTGGTTTATGCCCAGGAAATCGATTAAAACTTATTTCAACAAGTACGTCAATTTCATCGACAAATGAATCAAATGAACCACAACGTTCCTCTCCTTGTCTATCAACAGCTTCAGTAAGCTTCAATTATACAATCAATTCGAAAGATAATAAACGTATTTCTATTCAATTAGATGTACGATAGTTTGTCCAATGATTACGATATTCCTGTCACAGCACCAACATTACTATCCACAGTAACCGACGATCATGATTACGATATTCCACAAGGATCATCAGGTGAGAGAGAAAAAGCGAATTAATTTGCAAGTCAGATGACTCAGCTGCCGCCTCATATCTTTTGAATTAAGATTTTCACAGTTAGCTGATAAACATCTGTCGGATGTAGACAATCTTATTATTTATTGTTTAGATTTCTATTCGAATTCAAGTACTCCAACACCAATTGATTCATCTCCTGAATCATCATCACGCTCATCCGGAATCTATTCCACTAATGACCTTCGTCTATCCGATCTCTCAACATCATCATCATCGTCATCATCTGAATTTCACACATTAATTCTGAACGGTAACACTCATAGTCAATTATTATCATCGAGTAAGTTTGACTTTCGACGGTCACGACCTTCACACATTAGTATAGACCATGCTGATCATTATCAGGAAGGCGCGCGCGCGCGTGCGTTTATGTGGTGATTAAAATAAACATCACACAGCATGCATACACATATATTTATATATTTACGAATCAAAGTACTAAACTACACATCTGTATTTATGTCTAGGTAGTCGAAAGAAACAGACGAGTTTCCTTCTAGTTGTTAATGAAGGAAAAAAAAGCAATTTTGTTGTATTGAGTATAGCTATGAATTACATTAAAAAAACGAAAGAAATTAATGATGTAAGATAGAGGCACATAATAAAACACGTCCAGTTCATATTTTTCTCGTTAGTCACGTTTCATTGATTGTCAAGTTGTTATCTTGTACGAGGAGAAATTTTACTTTTTTCGTTTTTTAGCTGATATCGATCAATTACAAGTATCGTTTCGAAAATTATCGATACGTTCATTACTTCTTGAAAAATATCGTCAACTGCTGTTAAATTCGAATATCGAGTCAATCAATCGTCTATTCATTAATGAATGTCGAATATTTCTTCATGACTATGGTTGTTTATTAGATCGACATACTTATAAAGTTTTCAAACAAAATTTACTCTTCGAATTGGAACATGTGACGAATAATAATCAACGAATTGTTCAATTAGCAACGCAAATCTTGCAGTTAATTAAGCCGATTCTCGACATGCGTGTCAAACAGACAAGTTCCAGTGTCCCATCAATACCGATTGATGTGTTCAAAAAGTTAAATCTCGAACCAATCGAAGAAATCACCAACGAAAACGAAAAAAAGAAACTACCAACATCAATGTCAACAACACAAATCTATGGAACTTTTCAAAATCGTAAATCGAGTAAGACACAACAATACAAACGACTTTTTGAATAATCATTAAAAATCATTTTACCATTATGGTGTTGACTAGAGAAAAGCGATTCTCTTTTCTTGTTTCAGAAGTTCATTCTCGTGCGTCACAATTACCAACATCTCGAACGTGTCATTCAAACTTTCTCTCAGAATTGAGTAACAAAGATAATCAGTCCGATGATTATGATTATATCGACGATGATTATTCGACTGTTTCTTCAACATCTGCGACAGATCCGTTGGTCAAATGTTACCATCGACATATTCGCGAGCACATCGCATCCATATCGATGCGTTATACGCGTTTGTCTCAATTAAATCAACGTCCGAATGATGCAAATACAATGACAACATTAATAACGGAGAGTAAAGCATTGATTATTGCTGGGCATAAGCTTGTGTTCGTCTTGGAAACTTTGCATGAACATCTTCGACATTCGACTAAACTTCAGCAAACACAAACACCATTAATTTCCCTAACGAAGCAATTATGTGACGGATTAACATCGTTTGTTCGATTATTAAAACAATTTACAAATCAAAACTGTACAAATATGCAACAATTTCAACATGACACTCAACTAATAATGAATTCAGTCAAGAAAATCCAACAACAATGTAGTTCAGTTTAATATATATTTTTTTGTTTTTCTCATCAAACTGCTTGTTTGTTTGTTTGTTCTCTTTTGTTCTTTTTTGCTTTTGATAACTAGTCAGGTACTGCAAAAAAGAATAGACATATGAATACGACTTATTTAATAGAATGAGATAAGTTTCATCTTATTAATAATTACAAATTCTTTTCTGTCATGACTAGGTCACTTCTCTTTTCTTAGAAAGATGATAACGGTTCAAGCGGGATGTTTTAAAGTATGTGTACATGAGACAAACAGATAAAGAACAATAACAACGAAAGGACAGTTATACGCGATCGATGATGAGTACACGCAAGGTTTTCTTTCACAGTTACAATGCCATCGTTACCAACGATTAATCTAATCCAATCGATGTAAACACTAATTCGGGTGTAAACACCTATGTAATCACGTAGGCCACAACGATAACCATAAGATATAATACCTGTCAATATCCAACGACGTTTAGCTGTCGAAAAATGCATGATTGGACCACCCGAATTTCCTTCGCATGTATCTGAAAAAAAACGGTACATTGTATACTTCTTTAAACTCGGCTAGGATCTGTCAGTATTCCTACCTTTCCCTCTTCCTTGGATAGCAGCACAAAATTGTAAACGAAAGTTCTTTATTATGTTACTACATTTCGACTCAGTACTATCGATGGCCTCCAGTAATACTTGTCGCAGATACATGGGTGATATTAAATCTTCCCATGCTGTTATACCCCAACCGATAGCAATTAGAGATGAATGTATCAACGGATAATGTACTTGATCGGGTTCGATCACATCAGGCAGACAGATTTTTGCGATGTTCACATCGTGCGTTGGGATCGATCCATTTAGTTTAAGTAGAGCAATGTCGTTTTCTTGACTGGTAAAATTCCATTTAGGATGAATAAAAACATGAGATATTAAACGTATATGACCAGCTGTACTATCTAATGTATCGATACCCATAAACACCGAATAAGGAAAATATTCTTCTGAAATTCGCACAAAACAATGTGCTGCTGTTAAAATAAATGATTTGGATATAATGGTACCACCACAGATGTGCATGCCAGAGGAATCACGTACAGAAATCGCCCAGCCCCAACTACGATAGGCGACGGACTCGCCACGAATCACATCTAAATTGATATCAACATTGTTACGTGAACAGCCGCATGGATCCGTTGATTTGCAATAGAAAATTGTTGCCTGGACTAAGAATAAACTGGAGTAGTTACATACAAGAAAGAATAATGATCGAACTAGGTCAGTCATGAAATTTTGTCCGTTCTTTCGTATTGAATATGCCTACAATAAAGATATCCACTACTCGAATATATGTATTTGATGATAAAAGAAATACTTGCCCAGATAGGATCAATATCACATTTACTCGTTTTTTCTCTTGTTGCTCATACTCTTCAAATGCATAATGTTGAATTTTTTTCTCATCGTTTGGTCTTATTCAACATTTTATTCTATTAGCATCTGTCTAAACAAAATCGAAAACTGCAGTTTCATTTTTTTTTCTTTCTCTTTTCTTCAGTCAATAAGCACTCAATAACAGCAAACAAGAGTAATTCTTTTAGCAGACCATATCAATATTCATTGTTTAGTGCAACATAATACGTATACTCATTGTCTTCGATAGCTTGATGAAAAAAGACACTTATTTAGCAAATATTTAGTTTGCTCAATGTTATTTAAACATCGAATCTTTTATGTATCAAAGAATAGACCTCGACGAAGAAAAGAATCAACGCATCATTAGTTAAATATGCCAATTACTATGTCTGTTTTTGTTCACGATTTGGTTAATTAAACGACAATTATTCAACAAGAATACACCTTCGAGGTTGTAACAATATACTCCGTATTTTCGGACAATCTCCGGCGAGTTATTCGACCGAAAACTTCGAATAAAAGAGAGTTAATTAGAGCTGCTATTTTGTAGCATGTTTGAATATCAAACAATCATTTGAATGAAGTCCGATTTAATATATACATATGAATCAAAGCAAAGATGCCAATCTGCATAACATTACAGATTCAGATATGTATGCACAAGTCTTTCAATGTTAGAAATGATTTACAATCATTAAAGAAAATGCAACGAAAATGAGGAGATGAGAGACATGATGATAAATCGTTGCGTTACTTTGCTGGATAGTTACGATACCATCGTTCCCTACAATTGACTGGATCCAAGTCATATAGGCACTTATTCGCGTATAAACACCAGCGTAGTTTGGTAATGCGCATCGATAGCCGTACGATGTTATACCTGCAAGTATCCACACTTGATTCGGTTGAGAATAAAACATCAACGGACCACCGGAATCACCTTGACATGTATCTAGAGAGAAAGAATGAGATAAGAGCTATACTCGTTGTCGAAATGCACCTTTTCCTCCACCGTCAACTGCAGCGCAAAATTGCAGGTAAGTATTTCGAATGGAATATTTACATTTCGACTCGTTACTTGCAACCGTCTTGACTGTTACTTGTCGCAATGAATTAGACACACTACCGTTGAAAGTAATATGTCCCCAACCAATCGCTACAAGTGGCTTGGCCTCAAGCGGATATAGAGATTGTTCAGTTAATTTGACATTTGGAAGACAAATTTTAGCTACATTGTCGTTCTTAAAATCAATTGCATTGCTAAGCTGAAGAAGAGCAATGTCATTTTCTCTTGTCTTCAAATTGTAGCCAAGATGGCTAAAGACGCGTGATAACGTGAACCGTTGTCCTTCAGCAGTTTTCAACGAGTTTGTACCTATAACAACTGATATTAGATTAGCTGAGGATATGTAGTCCTCGACACAATGTGCTGCTGTAAGAACATAACGAGGAGAGATGATCATTCCACCACAGAAATGACTTCCGAAATTGCTTCGTATTGAAACGGCCCAACCCCAGCTATGATCCATAGCCACTTCGCCTCCGACTATTCTTGTGTTGATATTAACATTAGATTTTGAGCAACCGCATGAAAACTTTGTTTTACAAGAAAATAATGCAGCGTCAACTGGAAATTCACGATGACAAACGAAGAGAAGAAAAATGACGAGTATACATCGATGTGTCATGATGTTTTGTTGCTATTAGTGTTCTGTGAGTCGTGTGTATGTGTCAAGTCTTATTCTGAAAGCCTCTGAGACAACCTGTGAATTTATTCCAAACAAGTTTATCTCAGAGCGAATGAATATCACATTGGCGCTTTCGAGTTGTAATTTGCTTCTGCCTGATTTCTCTTCTTATCACATCAACAGGAATTCGTATTTTCAAAAGTTTATTTACGTTAACAAGATATTCTATACAGACAACATATGAATTTCATTTACAAAATTCTGTTGATTGGAATGTATCATAAGTATGCATCGAAAATAGCTATACAATTGTGTACAGATCAGCTAATATTTGATTTAACATCCTAAATAAGACATATATTTCTACCGAAAAACACGAACATTTCATTTACCATAATTCGAGGTAGTTGCTCTACATTAGTACCAGTCTGTTCATTCTACATCACATCTGATGTCGATACAAATAGAGAATAGAAAAAAAATGCCATTTGAGTTCGAACACTTCGCTCTTTTCCTCTTCATCTTTCTCGTTTTTTTTTTCAAACTGACCTTTTTGCTTTCTCCTTATTCCGATACAATCGATCAATTTACATGAACGATCATAAAAGACCGAAATCAACTATTCACCTGCATACAGGACGAAAAGGTCATAGATCCGATAACCTTTTGACAATGAAATGTACAACTAAAATCAAATTAAGCTTAGAACAACAGATTTTTCTTTCTATGTGTTCATATTTTCATCGATATTAAACAGTAATAAACAAAACAAAAGAAAAGAGACGAACAAACAGTTCCTAGTAGCTGTCACGAGCCATTTTTTCTAATGCTCGAATGCGTGCGCGGTACCGACTAGTAAATTCGCTTGCAAGATATTTGAAAATTTCACTTATACCCTTGTTATCCTTCTGAAAACAAGAAGACAACAGTCTATGATTTATATCGTCAGCGAAACCTGAACTCACAGCAGAACATTCGAAGAATCCCATCTTTCGACTATTAGCCAGTTGTTTGCCTTCTTGTGTAGTGACAACTCGAAAGTTTTCCTTGTCGATTTTATTACCAATCAAAACTCCTAGAATGATACATTCACATTCATCACAGAACAGAATTTTCTGTTGCACAAATGTTTACCAAATATATTGTGATCACCACGAGCTTGACTTAATTGTTCAAGCCACATAGCACAATTTTTGAATGAATTACGATTTGTTACGTCGTACACAATGCAATACATATCCATCGTTATCCACTAAATTGAAGTAGATCTGTAGGATGATCCACCTTCTCTTTTCAAAAGATAAACATACCGCATCTCTTAAAGATTCAAGATAAACAGAATTGCCAGAACTATCGAACAGGAAGAATTCCTATCACGAGAGATATCTTATGAGAAGAAAAACACTCAAAGAAAATTTAGCAACCTACCACCACATCATCACTATCTGGCACACGAATCTGTTTAAGCACAAGATCAGCTAAATTTGTCTAGAAAAATATCAGACGAAATCTATTACTAATTAAGAATGAATTCTAATCTTACACAGTTGTACGTTTTGGGATATGATGCTGCATCATTACCAGCAACGTGACATATGGCTGTTTTCCCAACAGTCATATCACCTAAAATTCAGCTCGTAGAATTCTAAACTTCGAATCAATTGACAACAAACCTGCTACAACTAGTTTTCCATGTAGAAGTACCATCGTTGAACTCAGTGAATCAGAGAATATGTTTTACGAGAATAGCAGCAGTCAACCATCATGTTACGACGATGGGTAGCAATGACCTTCATTGACAATAATATCTCGAAACAATTTCATATTATCGATCATAGAAATAATTAGGAGAATTCCAATGATATTCAATTACTTTCGCCCTAGTGCCAATTTGGATTAAAAGAGACTACTAGTGACAATCGGATGGAATCTAATTGGTCTGGGAAATCTGCCAATGAGTCATTCTAAAACGTCTGTCACTGTCAATACTGTTTTTGACATTGACAATTTCCATTCGATTCCAATCTAAAGATGGCTTCCACGAGTTCATTTCGAATCGATCAAAGAGTTTTTATTCCTGGCAAAAGTTTAGGCACAATTGCATTCATTGGAAAAACAGAATTCGCCGATGGTACGGAATCGAATTTTTTGTCAAAATGTCTTACACGATTCTTCTAGGGGAATGGATTGGTGTTATACTTGATGAACCAAAGGGCAAAAATAATGGAAGCGTTCGAAAAAAAGGTATGTTCACCAATTTATTCCACAGAGAATTTCAATGGCTCATTTTAGATGGATCTCTGGTCAAGTATTTCACATGTCTTGACAATCACGGTCTCTACGTTCGACCTAGTCAAATAGAATTTATTATTGATGAATCGGATACACATCTACCTCAATCAGCATCCAATCATTCAGTCAAGTCGCAGTCGAATGGGCCAGAAAACGGTCAAACAAAATCATCTAGCTTATCATCAAAGCAATCGAATCATCGCACATCTACGCGAGTTTCAGGTAACCATTAATCCAATCAAACGAAATATGATCTTTTTCCAAATAAATAAAATCGTATATGTATTTCTTATGATAACATAGGATGAAATAAAGAGGATATTCAACAGGTAAACGTACGTCAGCTCTATGACACTTTTGTTTTGCTCTTCTAACAATAATTAGAAGTGTAGATACATTGATTAATAATTGACAACACATCTAATAGAAAAAGTTCGTATAATCACTTTCGATTGATTCTCTTTTCTAAATTGATTTACGGTGATGGTTAATGGAGTTTCTCATTTCGATTCTCATTATTCTTTGTCTTCTTCAAGGTTCTTCCCGAACATCTCAGTCAATCGATGATAAACTATCAACTTCTAAAGATGACACAACGCAACCCTTAATATCGGAACCACAATCAAAACCAATAACTATTGTGGTAAATGTATTTCATTCAAAACATCGTAAATAATCATTGTGCACTTTAGTCATCATCGGAATCTCCGACATTTGATGCTGAACAGTTGATATACAATCTTCAGAACAAAATCATTGACCAAAAAGAACAAATACAAACGTTGATTGACAAGCGTCGCGATGATTTCGAGAAAATTAAAGAATTCGAGAGAATTAAACTGCAATTAGAACAAGTAATATGCTCTCTTTGTATAATTTCCTCATTCTTTTCTCAACTAAAAATTTTCGCATTCAGCTACAAGCCAATAAACACGAAGCTCAACAACGTATCAATGAATTGAACGAGAAATTTCAACAGCAAAAGACCGAACTGAATGATGTTCGAGAAAAGTTTGCTGCTTACCGTGAAGAAATGGCTGACACTGAAATTCGCATTGAATCTCTAACACTCGATCTCGAAATTGCCGAAGAAAAAGTAATCTCCTTCGAATTTTACCTTCTGCATTCTTATAACTCTGTTGGATCATAGTTGGAAATGTTAACATCGGAAAATACTGCGTTGAAGTTCAAACTTGAAGAAGTTGAATTAGAATACGATGTGATGAAAGGCGAGATGCAATTGAATGGATCGAATCATGTAGCAAATGGTCTACAGAAGAAAGCGGACGATGAACGAACGATTAAAATGGAACAAGCGTTAATCAAGTGAATGACGTAGACGATGACTGAGAGAGATTTCATTTTTATCGTTTAGACTAAGAGATTTATTATTAACTGAGAAAGCAGAAAATGAATCATTGAAAAACGAATGTAAATTAATGGAACAAAGAGCTGAGAAATTAATTGAAGAGCATGAAAATGCAAAAACTGATATTGCAACAATGCAAGCTACGATAACTGATTTGAAGGAACAGGTAAAACACTGCTTTTATCTTGTTATGAATCTATACATTTCATGTTCACAGGTTGATATCTATGTGGGTGCTCAACAGATGGCTGATATGTTAACAACCAAGAATCTTTCGCTTGAAGAACAAGTTCGAGAATTACAAGAAGAAGTGGATAATCTCGTAAGTTTGCTTTTTCTTCTGTAATTGTGTTCGTTGATATATCTCATCGTCGTAGGAATCAATCTGTGACATGGATAAAGGTAAGTTCCGTGCGGGCAAACATATCGATTTGCTCACAAGTTTAAGATTATCTAGAAATTGAAGAGAGTGCCAAAGAAGTCGAACAGGAACTCCGTCAATCAATTGATTTATTACAGAACCAACTTCATGAAGTACGAAGATTGGCTTTCCGATCATGAGAGTCTACTAAGAGTGTTGATTTATTTCTAGAAAGAGCGACAAGTCGAACAACTTCACTATACAATTTCTGATCATGAAAGAACAATATTAAAATTTCGTGAAAGTCTAAAAAACATGCAAGTAAGATCATAGTTTCGGTTGTATCAAAATGTTTCTTCTCATCGTTTTCCTAGACGCAAAATGAACAAACAAAAAGACAATTGGAAAAATACGATGAACAATTGAAATTAGTCGGCTCTCTTCAATCGAGTGAATTCAAAGCGAAAGTGATTGAAACGAAAACTTATGGCGAGTTCATTGAAAATGAATTACGAAAAGTTCAAGTAGTGAATTTAACTCAACATATTCAATATCTGACATTGTTTCTTCCAATACAAATGACAAAACGTGGCGGTGATCATGATTGCGTTCTGGTTCATTTACTTATCCAACGATTAGTTGCAAAATGCGAAGTATTAATGAACGAGACGCTGAAAAAGGTTCAACGAATTGATCAAGTAACTGCGGATGATGTGTTAAGATCGCATCGAGCAGAACAATGGAGTTTCGCGTGTAAAATTTTACAATCATTAGCCATTTTTGCAATGATCTTAAGGAAATACAACAAGTAAAATGATCGTCATAAGTTTCTCTAATTAGTTATATTTTAATTATCTAGCGTGTTGGAAGTATGCAATTCAAATATGCTTCGTCAACTAGCAAATTCTTATCATGATCTACTATCGCATGAAAAATCAATAGATTTTCTACTTGAATTGCTAAAAAAGGATCAACTATACGATTCGATAACATTGAATACTTTAGAAAAGACAACAGCGTTTTATGAAGTATGACGATGGACGTTGATTTGAATTGTATGCGAATTGACTTCTAAATTTTTTTTTCAGCATATCTATAAAAGTCATTTGAATGAAGAGAAATTGTCCATGGTGAACTATTTACAAGACGTAATGCGTGTCATTTCATTCAGTAGCGATGCACTGCAAGCAGATATTCAACGGATACAAATTTTGCAAAAGGTACGATCAAGAATTTCTATATTAGAATGTGAGAGAAAAAAAACCATACATTGTCTGTGGATATATAGGAATTCGAAGAAGTAAGATTACTTAGAGCTAAACGAGTTCGTCCTCTGACTGAAGTGGTTTGCATGAATGTTGTATTTGCTATGTGATATTTAACACATTTTAATCGAAGAAGAATGCAACAGTCGTTCGTAAGATCGTGTTTGAAAATGTACATATCATGGCGATATGCAGACTTTCTTTTATTGCCTGAATACGAAAGACCACATCATTGCTAGTGATCCATTTATTGTTATTTTCTGCTTATTCACTGCTTAATAAAGAAATACTAGTCAATATCTTCCCCCGTAAATGAATTTACTTTTTCTTTAGAACAACAATGAACAAGGCCCATTTACGATGCTGATTATGCGTCTTATGGAAAGCAATGAACACTTACGAGCTCAAGCTGGCAAAGTAATGACTTCGTTTGTAAAGGATCACTCTCCTAAAGCTTTCTGATCGAAAAATAGATCAACCGTCTTGTATCCAACGAAGATGATTCGAATCGTTCATTAGTTCTTGATACAGACACAATATTTTCGATTGAATCGACTATTCGACATCTCGTGCGTTTGACAAAAACATTCTATGAAATATGTTCTGGTTTGACAAATCAAATTCTCATACTTTCTGGTACGTATGTTCATTGTAACCAAACGATGATGATGATTACTGTACATATCAGATCCAAATGAGCGAATAAGCACGCAAGACATTGAAAGTATTGCCTATCAAGCATGTGATAAGATTTTCAAACAAGAAAATGACGGTCCATACGATAGTTTATGGTAAACAACAAATGTGAATTAACTCGTCGGAAGAAAATTATTTTTAGGAATTCAATGTATGAAAGTGTTTCCACTATCATGAAACTTAGCAGTTCATTGGAAGATGGTTTGTTCGATTCAAAAATGATCGATACTAATGAAAAGGTCTGTCGAAATATCGATAAGATATACTGTATAATCGGATCGATCTATAGCCTAAACAAGCAATCTATATCTTGGCGGAACAATTCAAATTGCTCATGAATGAACTGGAAACCATTCGCCACCGTTTCGAGTTGAAAGAAGAAGAATTAGTCGATGTTAAAAAATTGCTCAAATTAAAACAAGATGAGACAAGCGAATATTGTATACGTTTAGCATTGAATGACAAAAAACTGGATACTCTTTCCAAACAATTCGATGACGATAGATCGAAATATTTACAAATGCTCGAAACAACTCGAATGAATGCACAAAAAGAAATCGAGTAAGTAAGATTTAATGTGATGACAGATGATTTACCTATCGATGTGTGTAGACAATGTGAAGATGCCATGGCAGTACTACAAAATGATAACGAAAAACTCGAACAGGAAATAAATGAACTAAAGGACTGTCTTAAACAGCAATCTGAACTGACGAAAAGGAGCAGTATTGTGCCAAAAATCGATGGTCAACATATCTCATCTAGACAAGTGTTAGTACCACATCTCAGCCAAGATTTGATTAGATTTGAAACGATGGAACAAGAGGTATTGTCACACGTGATTGATTTTCTTCGAATAAATCTGATGTTCATACATTATGTTTAGATTACAACACTTCGAAATACTGTTCGATTATTAAAAGATGAACTATGGCAATTGAAAATGAGCCATACATCAAATGAATTAACAAAACTTGCCACACCAATGCGAGATACCAAATCAACTGAAATCAATGATATTTATAGAAGTTCAACGTTACTTTTAAATGTAAAATTTTGTTCTGTAAATACTTACTGATAGTGTTGTTGTTGTTTTGTCTAGGATCTTTTTAGTACTATTGCTAATTATAAAATCACTGGAGAAAATGTTGCTGTTAAGCAAGAATTAATACGTTCAAAAATGAAATTAGTTGATCAAACAGCAGTCAGTGTAAGTCGAATCTTTTCCCAATTGTATTGATATTTAGTGAAGTTGTTTAGCTCAATCATCGTCTACACCAATGCCAAAGTCAAATTCTTCCCGGTTCGACTATTGAAACCGACATGAAAACATTCTTAAATCCACAATTTTCCAAAGTTCGTTCCAATAAATTATGATACTTTCTTTTTCATCCGTCCATGTTCTAGTTTCTTGCTGAAGATCGCCAACTCGCCGCAGAAATTCATCTACCTGGTGAACATGCTGGTGGTGATGTCGATTTGACTCAAGAACAGTATTGCCGTATCATGCAGTCAGCTATTGGGTGTATCTAGTACAATTATCCATGTACAATCGTTTTGCATAATATGTTTTATAATCAAAACATTTTATTTATCGAGTGCATTTTAAAAAGAACAATTCTATAATATAATAAATAAATGAATAATTTTAATACGTACTGACACTTTTTTTAGTGGCTATCATCAAAATGAATCAAGATTAAGAACGGAAGAGATGGTATGAAATCCATATTCATCCATCACCATGCCAATAAGATCTTTAAGGAAACGCACTATTTGAAAAGTACCCTTTTTCGAAGTCGATTTGACTAAAAGAGTTAACAATTTTTAAACATGTTTATACGAAGTTAAACTTTCCAGATAACAAATTATGTTGCAACATGATAAATAATTGAATTAATTGTTACGATACTATTCTAGAATATATAACCAGAGAAGACACGAAACTTTATCAATTAACGTAACGATATAAAAAATAACATCAAGATGTTGTCATCATACTACAATGTCAAGTAACAAAAGCGCGAAGTGTTCGAATTGACGACGGATTAGTATTGATGATGCTGACCTCGTTCTGTGATCATCGGAAACATAAATAGGCATGACTTGGTTCGTAGCTTTGAACACTATCCAAGATGTTAATCATATCCAGCTTTTCTATTTCTATCGCAGAATGTTGCGGGAAAACCACGAATAATTTGAATCGTTTCCCGAACGTCTTAATCTGTATTTGCTAAATACACTGGAACCGTTTGATTGAAATTATCATGCATATCCAGATCAATCAATAGAGGCTTAACTACTATCGGTTTTCGAAGCATATTGATAAAACGACACCGTTAGCAGTCGGCAGCAGATTCTACATTGTATTCATGATCAGGATAGATATCAGCGAGAGGATGCGTGGCGCGGAAGAGGATTTCGAGTAAACAAGAGTGAACCGTCTTCGATAAAAATACAATTATCACATTACATTTGTCAAAACACTATTTTGTTAGTTTTATTTCTCTTTTGAAGTGAGTGACATTAATGTTCACACTTCATTTTAACTTCTTATGTGATTCGTTGCTGTCAAAACAAACAATTACTTCTTTCATGTTTAAATGGATGTATGAGCATTCGTCAAATAGATATTAAATAATTTTGTCTTCATTATTATGATTGATCGTGGTGAAAAGCATTCGTTCTTTTCTGTTTTAAGCCGAAGTCTATCAAGCTCGTTTGTCAACTGTTGTTCTTCGATCAAATATAAGCTTCGAAAGAGAGCAGACTGATCGATTTTGCAATCTAGGTTGAGCCGACCGTGTGGAAAAGATATCTGATCTGATTTAATCTAATCGTTCAGCATTCTCGGATGAGAATAGATTGAACCATTCAGAAACTGCTGATGTCACTATCATCGTAACCAATCACGTCGCAGCAAATATTCATTCATTCTTTGTTTGTTGTGCTGCTTTATAAGAGTTCATTCGAGCAAAATTCAATAAATTATTAACAATGCGCGGAGATGCTATGCGTGGTTTGGCCGTGTTTATTTCGGATATTCGAAATTGTAAATAAAAACTTCCGCTTGTGTTTCGTTTAACTGTACCATTGAACATATCTTCTTTTTTTAATTAGGTAAAAGTCGTGAGGCGGAACTACGACGAATCAATAAAGAATTAACCAATATTCGACAAAGATTTCGAGGTAGAGAAGAGTTTCATCAAATATATTCGAACTTTTTTCATTATTTTCGTTCATAGCCGATAAAACTCTTGACGGATATCAGAAGAAGAAATATGTATGCAAATTACTGTTTATATTTCTGCTTGGTCACGACATCGATTTCGGATATATGGAAGCGGTTAATTTATTAAGTTCAAATAAATATACTGAAAAACAAATTGTACGTCAATGAAAATGAAGATGACTGGTTGTACTGTTTCTCTTTAGGGCTACTTATTTATTTCGGTGATTATGAATTCGAGCACAGAAATGAAACAATTGATCATTCAAAATATTCGAAATGATTTACAAAGTCGTAATCCGATATTTATCAATCTAGCTTTACAATGCGTTGCAAATATCGGAGATCGAGAGATGGCAATTGCATTTACAAATGACATTCCACGATTACTTATTTCAGGGTGAGAGACCTTAAAGAAAGCTTATATTGAAGATTCTCTCTTCCATTTAATTATTTTGTAGAGATACACTGGATGCAGTCAAACAATCAGCTGCACTTTGTCTCTTAAGATTACATCGCACAAGTTCAGATTCATTGCAATTGAATACTGAATGGACAGCGAGAATTATACATTTATTGAATGATCAACATTTAGTTAGTGAATTGTCTCAATTTTACCGATATCGATTTTTTGTTTTCTTCGTAGGGCGTTGCTACAGCAGCGGTTAGCTTGATCGACGCATTGGTAAAACGAAATCCAGATGAATACAGAGGATGCGTTAATTTAGCCGTGTCGCGTTTAAGCAGAGTAAGTTCTCTATTCCCGTCTGTAATAAGTATGCATGTGAGTCAGAGAAAAATATATTGTGAGCCATAATGAACGTTTTATCATAAATCCGACATGGAATATCTGCAGGGAATTTTCTTATCCGTTTCATTACTTCCGGTTACGTGGAACGAGTATATGGTATATAAAAGTCCTATGTTCTACTATGTTTAGATTGTTACTTCGTCATACACTGATTTTCAAGATTATACGTATTATTTTGTACCAGCACCATGGCTCTGTGTCAAGTTGTTGCGTTTATTGCAAAATTATCCTCCGCCTGGTAACTGATAGTTTGTAGGTCTTGATGAATCGTACGTGTTTTTCTTCGATCTTTAGAAGATCCATCGGTTCGAAGTCGGTTAAACGAATGTCTTGACACGATACTCAATAAAGCTCAAGAACCATTGAAATCAAAGAAAGTTCAACATTCTAATGCACGCAATGCTGTCTTATTCGAAGCAATTAATCTCATTATTCATATGGATTGTGAGTCGAGCTTATTAGTACGTGCTTGCAATCAACTTGGTCAATTCTTACAAAATCGCGAAACTAATCTTCGATATCTTGCTTTGGAAAGTATGTGTCTGTTGGCAGCATCTGAATTTTCACACGAAGCAGTTAAAAAACATCAAGAAACAGTGATCAATGCTTTGAAAGTGAGTGAAATAGAAAAGTAATGCGATTTATTCGATGAATATTATGATCTATATTTAGAGTGAACGTGACGTCAGTGTACGACAACGTGCTGTTGATCTTCTGTATGCTATGTGTGATCGTTCGAATGCCCAAGATCTTGTTCAAGAAATGTTGGCCTATCTCGAAACGGCAGATTATACAATTCGAGAGGAAATGGTTGAGTTCAAGAAGATGCACCTCTTTTCTGACTAAATATTGTCATTCTTCGTCTTTCAGGTACTTAAAATTGCAATTTTAAGTGAGAAGTATGCAGTTGACTACAGCTGGTATCTCGACGTTATGCTGAAATTGATTCGTATCGCTGGTGATTTCGTTTCCGAAGAAGTACGGATAATTAAACAGACATAGAAAGACACTATTCGTTGTCTTCTCGATTCTTCATTAGGTATGGTATCGAGTAATACAAGTCGTAGTCAATCGAACAGATGTCCAAAGTTATGCAGCTAAAATCGCATTTGAAGCATTACAAGCACCCGCTTGCCACGAAAATATGGTGAAAGTGGGTGGATATATTCTCGGTGAATATGGAAACTTGATCGCTTTAGATCCACGATCGACGTAAGAAAAAGAAAAATGCTTATTCGAATTAATATCATGTACATTGCTTGTAGACCGATGATTCAATTTAATTTGCTTCATTCAAAGTATCATCTATGCTCTCCAGCAACACGTTGTTTGATTTTATCAACATACATGAAATTTATGAATCTATTTCCGGAAATCAAACACCATATTCAAGAGGTAGAACTATACTTCATACGAATGCGATAGCACACATTCATTTTTATCTACATAGATTCTTCGACATGATTCGAACTATCGCAGTTCTGATGTGGAAATTCAACAACGTGCCACTGAATATCTTCGATTGAGCGAAATATGCAATCCAACTGTATTGGCTACAATTCTTGAAATCATGCCACCATATCCAGAAAAACAATCACCATTGCTAGTACGATTGAAGCAAAAGAAACCACTAATGGAGGCAAATGGTGCCACCGAATCACAACCAGCAGCTTCCGGAAATACTGATGACGGACCGAAACTTACCGAAACAGCAGTAAGATTGTCTCGACCCAAACTATATTTCAAAAGTTCTTGTTATCGTTTAGATACATTTAAATCAACAAGCACAACATCAGAATGGTCTTCTTGTATCATTGGATACACCAGAATCGAATGGTCATCACGAAGAATCTACTTCTCATCATTCATCATCAGCAAAGAAATTCTTATTCAAAAACAGTGATATCATATTTGAGAATGAATTAATTCAAGTCGGAATCAAAGGCGAATCAACCAAAAGCACATTGAGAATTGAATTATATTATGGCAATAAGACGAATTCCCATCTAACCCATTTCTCGGCAGATATTTTCACACCAGGAGACTTACAAACAGGTAAGACGTCAAACTTTCTTCTTCATTCACTTGAAAGCATTCTTATTGTAGCACTTCGAATGAATTTCGATCCGATCAAATCTACCATTGATCCAAAAGCACAGATCAAACAAACAGGAACGATCGATTGCATCAAGGACTTTGCTGAGTTACCAACAATGAACATATCATTTCTGTATGTAAATCATCCATGAGAGACCAAACTCTTTATTTATATCTTTCAGTCATAACAACATGCTGCAGAAAATTGATTATGCATTCCCATTATATTTGAATAAATTTATCGAGAAAGCCGAGATGGACTCGAACAATTTCTTTCTTCGATGGAGAAATCTTGACAAGTATCTAAAACTTTGTTATTGTATCATTTTCCCCTATCGTCATCGCTGAATTTCTAGACCGAATCAAGAATGCCAGAAAATTTTTCCAGCCAAATTTCCAATGGTATACAACGACTGCAATCAAAAGGTAGATTTTCGTTTGAAATTGAAACTAAAAAAACATCACATGTGTTTACGATTTCAGCTGGAAGATTTCGGCTGGAGCAGTTTAGTTGGTATAGATGTAAATGCGGAGAACTTTTGTGGAGCTGGTATTATTAATACTTCAACACAACCAATTGGCTGTCTCTATCGACTCGAACCGAACAAACAAGCGAAAGTAAACATTTCCGTTTCGTTTCATATCATTCTAGTTCATTTTGTTGATAATTTAGATGTACCGTTTAACCATTCGGTCAAGCAAAGAAGGTGTTGCTAATCGATTAATGGAATTACTCGAAGATCAATTTTAATAAACATTCAAGTCTCATGCAATATACATCTTCCCTTTTTTTATTCTTGTCGTTTATCTCATGCAATTTATATCTGAAAAAAAAACTCTAATCAAATTCTAGATGTTGTATTTTAATATTAGAAGAGAAGAATTCGTTTGATGTATGTCTGTTTGTACGCATTTTCTCTCTTGTCGGTGTATAGTTTCCATTCCTCTTGTCACCACCTACTGTGATTTTTTTATCAACGTATTAGAGACCTTTTTATTCTCATATTCACTTATTTATTCTAAACGTATATATTGTTAAAAAAATAAACCAAAAGAAAAACAGACAAACCTCCAATTTATGAGCAAATGAAAATACTTTTCGCTTCCTTTTCAGATTTTACGGTCAATTATGTCGTCAGATAGTACGTGTTGCTTGTCGAGACGAGCTTAAGTGTATTTCTTTTCTTTACTAGGATCTCGAAGAGAAATTAAAGTTAGAGGAAACGATGCACAACGACTCAATGCATTGGAACAATTGAAACGAGCAAGACAAGGCGGTCAGGCAGCAATTGCTGAACAAGTAATCTTTTTGATCATCTACTCATTTAAGAATATTTTCGAGTTGATTGACATTTTAGTCGACGATCACAAATGAATCTGAAGATGTAGAGGGAGACGAAGCGGAGGAGGAGGAAGAAGATGATGACTATGAAAGCGATTCCGCCATGTATGAAGATATCAAACCATCGACAAAACGGAAATCGAGCAATTCTCATCACAAAGATTCGAAACGTTTGTATTCAAAGTGGAAAGAAACGTTTGAGAAATCAGATTTATTTTGTGTATTGCAGGTTTGAAGAAAAAACGGCATTCTTCAGGAAATGAAGATGATGATGGCGAAGAAGATCATCAGAAAACGAAAGCTTCGGAGTCAAAACGTCGCGCACAAGTTTTTGCTAAGCCGCAAGAAGAATCAACACGCATGCAGGATATCAAATCGATGTTCGCCGCCAACAAAACACGAAATATACAAAGACAGGAACAAGTATATCTCGCGATGAGATTGCTATCTCAACGAATACATACAATTCTTTGTTTAGATTGAAAAAGATGACTCAGATAAATTGTTGTCGGACATTATGTTTGAATTGCAGAAGCCAAAGGCTAAACCAACTTATCCACTGGCAACGCCATCCGTATCGGTACCAGTACAAACGCCAACAGCCGTTGCTCCGAAGAAGCATGAAGTGAAGCCAGCAGAACTTCCTCCGCCCGAAGAAGTCAAACCAGCATCGATGCCCCAACCGTCGTCACACATACAGAGAGATCTTGACTGGGGCGATGATGACAGTATGAGTTTCGATGCTGTATCAAAGTTGATGAATGACGCAGCTCCACCAGCACCACCACTACCACCACCAACGCATAAAATTCCCTCGCCACCTTGCGCTTCTAAATCTTTAATTCAATTCGATACTCAAGAGCTTGAATTTGTCACTGATGAACAATTATTGAAGTCAGCTCGAACATTTCACACTTCACCGTCGAAGGAAACCGATCAGAATGAAGCGGCTAATAAAGATGAACATTTACGATTCTTTTGGTTCGACGCTTATGAAGATCCAGTTGCTCAACCTGGTAAGACATTCGATAAAATCACGTTGATGTTTATTGTTTAAATCGTAGGTAAATTATTTCTCTTTGGCAAAAGCCCGTTGTTGAATGAAGATAAAACAACGAGCAAAACATTCGTTAGTGTTTGCTTAATCGTTGACAACATTCCGAAACAAATGTTTCTTGTACCCAAACCCCGTGTAAGATTGTTTTTTTTCTTCTTCTATAAATTTTCGAGGTTATTTTATCTTCTATTTTGTAGAGCACAGCATCCGATGTTGAAGATGAATTGTTTATTATTGCGAAACGATTCAAAATAACGAATTATACATCATCAGTAAATTAACTTTACTTTGAAAGAGAACACTCATTGCATGATTGGTTCACATTTAGATTGTCAAGAAACGACGCTTCGACCCGGAATTGGTCGCTACTGATCTACTCAATGAAGTTGATGTCGTCGAAATGAAATATCCAGTAAGATTTCACTTGTAGATTCGTACCGGTTCTTAGAAGAAAAGCTCTTTTTCAGGCTCGTTGTGCTACATTACCCAGTGATTTACAAGGTGATTCATTTCAATCGATTTATGGTACTAATCAAACTGCACTTGAATATATACTCATCGATAAAAAACTCAAAGGTCCATGTTGGTTAAACATAAAAAATTGTGGTAAGCTGATAAACTAATTAATTGCAAGAAAACCTATTGGCTTGCTTCTTAGCACCGGTGAAAACACGGCGCAGTTGGTGTAAACTCGAATATGACGTGGATTATTATCATGGAGCAGATCGTCAGATTACCAATATTGAAATTAGTACTGTCGTCTCACCACCACCGCCGTTGGTCACAGTGACTTTATCTTTGGTCACATTGCCTAATACTAAAACTCATGAAACCGAAGTGAGTAAAAGAAGAAGTTTGACAAATTCATGCAGAAAGTTTTCTTTAGGTTATATGTGTATCCGGACTTGTTCATCAACAATTCCCAATGGATAGCGCTGCACCCAAACGACCATATCAAAACTATTTTGTCGGTCAGTTGAGTGATAATATATAAGATCGTGCAATTCTTTGTCTTTATATTATTTTTTTTTCAGCGTTAACTAAACCCAGTGATTGTATTCTTCCACCTGGTCTTGTCAAAGCAGCTGAATCTCAAGTAAGAATCATTCACGGTGAACTACTACGACATGAAAGAAGCCTTCTTCCTTCTAGAAAATTAACATCGCAATTGTGCCCGGTGAACGAGCCTTACTAATGTATCTAATATCGAAATTTCAATTGTTAGATCCCGACGTCATTGTTGTAAGTAGACAATACAATGACAATCATTTGTCTATCTTCCTCTTCCTTCTATGTAAGGGTCATGATATGCGCATGTTCGGTTTGGAGTTATTCTTATCGCGCTGTCAGAAATTAAAAGTCGGTTTAACAGCATCCAAAATTGGCCGACTTCATCGAACACATGATGGAAAAACTAAAGTAAGGCTTGTTTACGATAAATATTTCGAATTCATGTATGCCTGTCCAGGTTTCCACGATCAAAAATCCAACCTGCGGTCGTCTTCTATGTGATATCTCAATCTCCGCACGTGAATTATTAACAAAATGCAAATCGTATGATCTTGAAGAACTGTGCAAAGTCGTTTTAAATACTGAACAACAGCAACTCTATCGAGCTTATTCCATCGATCAAACAAGAGAAGCATTCAGGTATATCATTACTTCTGATTTGAGCTTTATTCTAATCTTAGCTGAATTTCAGTTCATCAGTGTCTGTTGTTGACCTTGTTCAAGCAACATTGAATAATACTTCATTAATTCTCAATATCTTCTGCCAATTGATGGTCTTGCCACTTGCATATCAATTGACATGTATCGCTGGAAACTTACTAGTAAGATTCTCATGAGGATGACTACAAATCGTTTTCTTTTTCCTAGAGTCGAACATTAGCAGGAGGTCGTTCCGAACGAAACGATCATTTATTATTACATGCATTTACTGAAAAAGATTATATTGTACCGGAACGAACGATCATCTCCAATCATCGATCTGCTCTCAAACATACTCAAGAGGTATTTAAAATGAACATAACAACCACATGTCTTTTGAGAGTTCTCACAAATTTATTTTCATTTTAGATGCATAACGAGTCCGATGAAGAACTCGACGATGATCCTAATAAGAAGAAGACAACAAAACCGTCGTCGACATCCTACACCGGAGGTCTAGTCCTAGCTCCGAAGAAGGGCTTCTATGACCATTTCATACTGTTGTTGGATTTCAACAGTTTATATCCGTCAATTATCCAAGAATTTAATGTTTGCTTCACAACTTACATGAAGAAATCGATTCAATCACGCTCCGTTAGTTCACAATTTTTTTCTTAATCTTTACTTTCGAAATTGTTTTTTTCGTAATTAGAACAATAGCGAACAAGAAACAAATGAAATTGACGATATTGTTGCCCTTGATGAAACAAACAAAGGTATTTTACCACTGGAAATCTATAAACTCGTTGAACGACGTCGTGAAGTGAAAAAATTAATTAAAGAAAAAAAGAATCTAACCGATGAACAACTCGTTCAAGTATGTTTTCTTATCTATTCTCTTTAAAGTAGACTGTTGTCTATTTTCAGTATGATATCCGTCAAAAAGCTTATAAATTAACAGCAAATAGTTTATACGGTTGTTTGGGTTTCAAGTATTCAAGATTCTATTGTAAATATCTTGCTGCTTTCATTACGTACAAAGGTCGAGAAGTAAGAATAAAAGAAATTCTGTCTATCCATATAGTTATTATTTACCTAGATCCTCATGCAAGCAAAAACTATTGTCGAACGTGTAAGCTCAAGAATTTTTATGAAAAATAATCAACGTATTTGAACATTTCTAGATGAATTATGATGTTATTTATGGTGATACGGATAGTATTATGATCAATACGAATTCTACGGATTATGATCAAGTGATGGCGATTGGCGCGAAGGTAAGATTCAATGACTTCGTGTGATCAGTAATTGAAAGAAGTCTTCGGTGTAGATACGCAATGAAATCAATCGTCAATATAAAAGCGTTGAAATCGGTATCGATGGTGTATTTAAATGTATGCTTTTATTGAAAAAGAAGAAATATGCTGCATTGATTGTTGAAAAATCTCCAACACAAGAATTCACATACAAAACAGAATTGAAAGGTTTAGATATCGTTCGACGTGATTGGTGTCAATTGGCTCGTTCAACTGGAGAGTAAGTGTTTCCATTCAAAGAGACAAGTTCGCTTACCTCCTATGCAACGCAGATTTGTCGTATCAGTTATTCTCTCTGGTCAATCACGTGATGATGTTCTCGATACAATTCACAATCGCTTACGAGATCTCGGTGAAGAAATGCGCGCCGGTAAAGTTGACATTGCTGAATATGAAATCAACCGAGTGAGTTGTCTGCTTTCCTCATTTCTCCTTATTCGCGTTTTTTGTTTTCTTCAGCAACTTTCCAAAGATCCAAGTGATTATTCCGATGCGAAAAGTTTACCGCATGTTCAAATAGCTGTTCGCTTCAATACGAACTCGACGGGAAGAAAAATGAAGCGCGGCGATACAATTGCCTATATCGTCTGCGAAGTATGACATTCATTGCATTCGTTTGAAACCTAAATCATTCGGGATTATTTCCTAGGATGGTACACAAAACTCTGCTATGCAACGTGGTTACTTACGTGAAGAGATCTTATCGTCATCGTCGTTGACGATCGATATTAATTATTATTTGCATCAACAACTTTTGCCTGTTATATCACGTTTATTAGAACCATTTGATGGTACAGATCAAGCATATCTTGCTCAATGTCTGGGACTAGATTCGTCAAAATACAAACAACGTCAACAAAAGAATTATGGAGGCAAGAATGATGAAAATAATCTTGATAACGGCAATGATGATTTTGATGATGAACTACTTTTCGGGGAAGGCACAGAAGCGTTTAAACAATGTGATCCATTTTCGTTCTCATGTGTTAAATGCGACACGTTGAATTTCTGGAACGCACCATTTATTTTCAATGAAGTATGAAGAGTATTTTCAATAAGCTTCGACTAAATTGAAATACTTAGGATAAGACATGTGCATCACCACTTCTTCGATGCACAAATGTCAGTTGTTCAAGTCAACCAATCGACCATGTCATCTATCTACGCAATCGTCTGACATTGATGATTAGTAAGGCAATTCGACGTTATTATCAGGTAAGTTTTGTCCTAAACCATTCCCTCTATTCTTTTTCTTTTGATGCAGAATTGGTTACGATGTGAAGATGACACGTGTTGTGCATTTCGAACACGGCAAACACCGTTAGAAGTATTACATAAGAGACATACATGTACATCGTGTAATAAAAGTGATCTCGTCACCGAAGTAATGAGCAATCGATTCAACTTTTCTCAATTCACACATCATTCACTTTTCAGTATGATGATCGTCAATTGAATTTGCAACTTCGCTTCCTTAAACAGCTGTTCAATCTTGATTCTTACAAGCAATCAATCAATCGAACGAAATCGGGTAAGGAGCGTATTTCAAGTGAAAGTCTAGTGATAAATTTCGTTTCCTTGCAGAACAAATCGATACTTATTTGAAAAGTCTACCAGCGGATACGATGCGTCTGATTTCCAAAACAATGAATGACCTGCAAGGACATATTGATCGTATTGTACAAAAAAGCGGTTATGCTGAAGTATGTGTTAGTGATCTCTTCGCCCAATTTTACTTTAATACACCAATCCAAATGAGTTAGTTTTCTTCTTTTTCTTGTGATGATGCTTGTCAAATAGATACCAAGATATTGTTATTGTTGATATGATTGTCAGATAGATCTATATTTTTTCTTTATTTTGTGAAATAAAAAGGTTCGGACGATTCGTGCGCTGATGTTACATCGTGTGAACTAAATTATGCAGAGTCAAGCTATATTGAAAATCTCAACTCCGTATAACATTACTGAAAGATTGAACAAACTTGTCAATCGACTACGAAAATTATTAACATATTGAAAATAACCGAGACATAACATAACTCATCTAGTCAGTCCCATACTAATTTATCTGTAATTGTCATCGAATATGCAGTTACAATCAGTGTAATATCAGTCATCATGCTAACCTTTTGTAATTGAACAGTTAATGTGTTGATAATCAATTGTACAGACAATGAAAATGCCACCTTGTCGTCAGGAAATTGGATACAAAAAAATCCACAATCATCTGTATGAGATCAGTCTGTTCATTCACAGGAACAGCAATGTTTCTGTCATTGAATTCTTTACTTTTTCTATTCAGTAGCCTAGGTCAAATACTACTTGAATTTTCTTCACGTTCATTTATCTGTATCGTTGACCTCTCATATCTAATCAATTGGAAGTAAGAGATACTCAATCGTCTCTAACGAATCGATGAAATGAAATCATATGAATGGGGAAAAGGAAATAAAGTAAATAGACAAATTTTACTATGCTTTTCGGATGAATATCCGAGCAACACCAGCTTGTCCGTCTAAACGCGTCTATAATTGCAGACTCGTTGAATGTTAATCTTATGCTTTCGGACAACGAACGAAATGATTAGAAAATGTACACATCTAGTCAGCGATGAATAGAAAAGAAGAGAAGAGAAGAGCTCAATATGTTTGATAACAAGCTCGATATGACCGATCGTTATTTGGCTCCGATCATTACTCGAAACGATTGAAGACAAATAGAAAAATACAACAGAAAAGAAAGTAAATGCCAATCGACATCATCTTATCTCGACTTGTTTCCTTGATGAATGAATCATCATTAACAATAAAAACATGTGAGCTATGGGTACACATACTTCATAGCACTATCCTCGCTCTGCCTAACGTGACAAACAGGAAAGGAGAAAAATAGGAGAATAAGTGAGAGAGAAATTCATTCTCTCTCTCTCTGTCGAATAAACGAGCGATGAGAAAAATATTTTCTTCGTCATATCTTCTCTTAGTCTAAAAGTGAGTTCTGTCTTTACTTTAATCATGGCACATACTATCCAACCTTGTGTTTAAACTAAGTAATTAGATATGATCGATCATACGATGTATATAAATGTTTCTCTTGAAATCTTTTGTTCTCTTTCTTTGAATTTCAATCCCAGCTACGAAAATATCAAAGCAAATGCAGTTCATTCACTTTTGAGTTCATCGATTGTTTGATCCTAACGATCTATATTTCACACTCATTAGCGAATACACATCCATAAACATTCTTCATTTGAAAATCAAAGAAGATCGATCGTTTACTGTTAACATTTCTAATTTATAGCATTTATCGTGTTTGTTTTCTGTTCATTTTATTTAGTCATGTATAAAGAAACGATTTGTATTCTTCTATTACAAATAACAATCATCAATTGTTATACTTTTCAATCTTCGATTGATAATTTACTTTATATCAAAAATACGTCGACTCTATTTGCAATATCTTCCTCGCATTTGTATCAATTGCATTGGTCAACAACAAATCAAACTCTCCTTCTGCTACATCGACGTGTTCAACTTCATTCATCCATTGATAATACAGAATATGGCGTTAGTGTTTTTGTTTACGATCAAATTAAACAATTGTTAATCATCTGTGCACGTTCAATTATCGGTCGTTGTATTCTCTACGATGCAAATGATATCAGTCGAACTTACATACTCGACTCATCCGTCGAAACCAATTATCTCGGTTGTTTGTCGGGTTGTTATACATTCATGTCAACAAATATCATTCGTTCAGCGTTGAATGGTAACCGTCTTGAAAGCAATGGTAACATAATTAATTCTCAAATTGAATTGCGCAAAGATTTGCTTAGCTATAATATCAAATATCAGTTAGAGTCAAGTGATAATACATTGATAACATCTCTAACGTTCTTACCCGAACATTTAATAACGAAAAACAATTATGAATATATTTACGGGTTCGATTATGAACAATATACGTACTATATATTGAAATCCTCACGTATCGCACGTTTATGTCAGTCTACTATTGCAATGCGTGTTACGTACGATGAAGTACCATTGTTAAATTGTCGTAATACAAGTGAGAAAACATCGATTATTATTACAGGAGCGTTTTATTCGTTTGATCAACTGACGAGTTTATATGTTATTTTTGATAATTTCGTTTGTATGTATTCGATGAATGAAATTTTGCGTGCGTTTCAAGCATCAAAACTTCAATGCCAACAAGGTAATGGTCATCGTCTAGATCATATCGTTGATAGTGTCGAAACTCGGCCAAAATGCGAAAAAACTTTAGAGCAAAATCAAACAGATGTTAATGAATGTGCGTGGCAACCATATCGAATAAATACTTATGTGGATGGAATGATTGGAGCAGTTGGAGAGAAGATCTATGATACAATGGCAAAAAACGTTAAAATTAGTTTTATTTTTGCTCAAGAAGATATTGTAATTATGAGTACGAATGAACGAAAAGTGTTGAAGGTATGCAATCTGTGCTGATATGATCTATTTTTTTGTCGAACAGCGAGAATATATTCTTGTTTTTAACACCTTCTGTAACACATTTAGTTAATCCGGTCAAATCAAACAACACTTTATCTGTTGCATGAAGCTGTCTATCATACTGAGCCGTTTAATCCGCAGTACGTAATTGACTATGAACATGAGTCATTAATCTTTGCTGTTGGAGCTGAGGTAATTAGATGATTGTCTGCGTAGTTTTTGTAAGCATCAATCTTGCTGTCACATTTAGCTCCATCGATATGCGTATAATTCTTGTTCAATCTACGAAACATGTCGTTCGTGTATTGGCAGCCGACGGTATGATAGTAAATCGTGCATATGGTTCGATGGTAAATGTTCGTTATCGTCGAATTCATTGATATTCAATCGTGGATGTCCACCGACAGTCGATCAAGTTTGTTATTTATGAATTCATTCCTTTTGGTAAAGAATTTTCTTCAATAGATAATACCGAAAACTATCAGCGTCAATAACGAACGAGTTACACTAGTCATAATTGGTTTATTCGAAGGCGTACACGCACATTTAGTGAACGTTTCAGTCAAATATCCTTCATTGGGCTACATGCAAACTATTTGTACTATAGAAAGTGTTGGAAATGATAGGTTTGTCACTAATGAAGGCTGTTTTCAGTGTGTTATGTTCATTCTTTTTGATTTAGTTTAACGTGTAATTTAACAATTCCACGGCAATCGGCCAGTGGAATCATTTCGTTAGATATTAAACCTAATCGTTCGTTAGCTCTGGGTGACACGGATCTCTTGGGAAGCATTGAATTATCGGATAAACTAAATATCTATGTACGAATGAAAATTTGTCTTTTATGAGTAGAAAGATAATGATTGCATTTAGATACCTAAACCAATTCTCGTGCCAAATTTCGGTCCAGCTGCTGGTGGAACAAAGATTCGTCTACAAAATTTAGCGTTTGACGAAAGTCTAGATCTGTTTTCAACAATGAAAATCTTCCTAGGAAACAAGCAATGCCACATAACTGAGTAAGACTCGTCTTCCAGGCATGACGACTAATTTCGAAAAAGGCAAATTCAGTTTATCACGTTGCATTTGGTATGGCATTCTACGCCAGATGCAATCATATCGCAGACGAATATTTTTCTATCCAGGTAATTGTACGTGCAACGTCCTCTGTTTCTTTTTTAGAATAACCTCCGACGAAATAGAATGTATCAATCAGGCGTGTACAAATAATTCTGAGCGATTAGAATTGAGTATTCAACTGAATGAGAAAAGATGGCAATTAGAAAGAGCATACTTCCAATGTCGTCCGGATCCGATGGTTTTCGATTGGTATCCGAAAAAATCAATTTTAAGGTGAAGCATCCGATCGTTGTTTTAGAATTAGTTTTACAAAATAATGTTTTCTTTCAGTGGTGGATTCAAACTAATCGTCAATGGACAAGATTTGAATGTCGTACAAATGCCTATCATGAAATTTGTTTACAATATATCAGATTATGAGTTTATTTCATTATGTGAATCGACTTCAAGTACACAAATGATCTGTCTATCACCTGCGATCGATCGAAATCTTGGTTTAAGTCCGCCGATTGACCTTGACGTCATGTTCTTCATGGATAACATCAAGATCATTCCCGAAGATAATATTCTAACAATTGTTGACGATCCAATTTATTTCCCATTCAAAGATTACGTTCAAGAAATCAATTCGACGAACATTATCAAATTCGAAGTAAATATTAGACAACCCATCATACTGAAGTTCTTCTTGACATTTTCTTAAGGGAGCAAATCTTGCTGTTACACACTCGTTAGATCTTATTGACGTGCAGATCGACAATATTCACAATGCTTGCTTGCCAATGAACTTGACGGATACGTATCTCACGTGTACGTTATCGAAAGCAGCACTGAATAATCTCAAAGACTATGAAGCTAATATTGACGTAAGTAAAAAACGATATGTAAGTTCTAGATGTAAGGAGAAAATGTGTTTAGATTCGTATTGGAACAAATCTAACATTTTTAATTGGTAAAATTATCATTCAAAATCGTACGGATTCATATTCTGGATTATCCATTCCGTACTTAACGAAACAAATCGGTTCCTGGACAATATTGATCTTAATTATTTTAACATCAATCACAATATTGAGTTTATTATTTCTGTTTGTTATATTTATTCGTCGTCGTTATTTTCAATTTTCGGAAAAATACCACAAACAAACGAAACCTCCGCAATATTACCAGGATGTCTGGTGTGAGTTAGGTAAAAAATGGCAAATCAACTCGAAGCATCTAACTGTAGCAGAAAAGATTGGTCAAGGTTGTTTTGGTGATGTTTATCGAGGAGAACTGAAACAGAATGATAACAAACCACTCGAAGTTGCAATTAAAGTTCTTCGCGATCAGAACGTGGCGTCAATGCATGAGTTTTTATTCGAAGCCAATCGAATGAAAGATTTCTCACATCCGAACGTTCTCTCATTGATCGGTGTCGTATGGGATCCTGTGCGGAAAGCAATGGTACTGTTACCTTATATGAAAAATGGTGATTTAAGAAGTTATATATTAAGTGAAAAGAATCGACCAACTGTACGACAGCTAATAACATGGGGAATACAAGTTGCTGATGGAATGGAATATTTATCATCGTTGAAATTTATCCATCGGGATTTAGCAACACGAAATTGTATGTTGGATGAGAATCTAATCTGTCGAATATCGGATTTCGGTCTTAGTCGAGACATTCTCGATCGAGATTATTATCTTGTACCACGAACAACGACAAAAGAAAGAAACGGACAAGTTATACAAATGCCACCGAGACGATTGCCAATCCGATGGCTTAGTCCTGAATCAATTGAATCGTCAAAATATACCATTCAATCCGATGTGGTAAGTTTATTGTGAAAGAACGAGAGAAAGTCTTCTATTAGTTTGCTATTTAGTGGTCCTATGGCGTTCTTCTTTGGGAATTATTAAGTCGTGGTAAAACGCCATATCCTGGAATTGACAATGCTGATATCTTTACATATGTTAAGAACGGCTATCGTCTTCCTCAACCTACTTATTGTCCTCCACTGCTCTATAAATCAGCGATGATAGTTTGTTGGAATGCAGATCCACTGAAACGTCCAACTTTCACTCAACTCGCTCACGATATTCGTCATATTCTTCAACAACTCGAACTCGAACAGCAACAACAGAAACAAATGGCACACAATCAACCATCCTCGTCTGCTGATGACGAAGATACAACTATTGTCGAGCGTTATCCAGCCGATCGAAAACTCAAACGATTATCAACCACGTCCTTGTCATCATCAGCGAGCACCACTGGACAATATATAACGACCCCTCATCGTCAATCTGAAAATATCCAGTTACTATTCGATCGTGGCGCTGATGATGAAGATTCATATGCAGTTGCAGTTAATTCAAGTGCTGATGTTTTTAGTACAACGAGATTATTACCTCGATATACAGAAATAAGCATTGCTGAAGATGCATAACATTCTGTTAAACTGTGCATACTTTATCTTGCATGTGTATTTGTGATATGAACTAATGTATGGCGTACTTTGTTTTTCTTACATTTCAAAATAAACGTTTGTTTATTTGATCTATTCTAGATTATTATAGTATTATTTTTCGAGGAAAAGGAGAGAAGTGAACCAGTCTTTTTAACAACCAATCTGTCGTTGTGATTCTAACAGTTTTTCTCGTTCATCGATCATTGTTACTGCCTATGGGATACATAAGATCACATAATTTTCATGATACTAGTGCTTTGAAACTTACCCAACTGAAAAATGCTGCCAAGCCAATGGAGATTTCGCTGACACGTATTAGATCATAATTTCGTAGAATGTCTTTCGCTTCATGAGCTTTCTCAACTGGAATGTGAAGTGGACTAAGTTCGTAACATCGCCGACGAACACTATCTTTTCCTAAGCGACCCAATAAGTTTTGGATTTGCGCCCAATCCTTTGAATGGAAAAGCAAAACATGCAGATATCGCCTTGGCAACGAAATTCACCTGAATTTCTTTATCGCAATGTCCGAGAAGTAGAAAGGTAGCACGCATGACCGTCGAGACTTCATCCGGCGGCTTCGTATAGCTGTGTAACTCAGCGATCGTAGCTTGATTTAATCGTAGAACTCGAATTCTAAAGTAGTTTCATGTTTGAATCTGTAGGCATCCTTTGCAATGCACTGTATTACTTCATATGTTCAATTTTCATCAACCGATGAAGAAGCTCTAATGCTCGCTCACATTCGTATTTCAATTGATGAAGAAAATTATGATCTTTGACTTGTTGTATGGCTTCTTCTAATGCAGGAATTGTTCGTTCTTCAATAGCAGCTAACAAGTCTGCGAAGAAGAAAACAAGTACAATTCAATTCGATGTACAAATACGACTCGGTACCTCGACGAGCTTTGTCCAAATCAACAACAGAAGATGATTCTTGAGGAACCGTAAATGTATTTTGATTTGATGGTAGACTAAGCATGTTATCCGGAGTTGGCAGCGGTGACAGAATGCTGGGCGTTGGTGGTGTTGGGAGTCGCGGATAGGATGAGATAATCGTTGGTTCGATAATTGGTATGGCTTTTTCATCAGCTAAAACCAGTCTTGGGGATTCATGTCGACTGACAGATTTAATTTCACATATTTCATACGATTTGTATGGATTGAAATGATGAGGATACGGGCCGATTTTTTCTTTGATCACATCTTCAACTGCAGGTGAAAAATGAAAATGAAATGATTCGCATGACAGTATTTGAATTGATCCTTACGTAAGAAATAAATCAGTATCATTAAAACAAAGAGCGAGATAAGAATGAGAAAGACAGCTAAGATTTGTCCGAGACTATCTTCAAGTAAATGAAAAATGATTTCATGCAATGCGAATGGAATGTATTTGTCTATTACTTTTTGTTTGCGTAGTGCAACAGAAAATAATTGCGACGAGAAAACCTAATTCAATGATGATCATGATGATAACCGAGATCAGATGAAGTCGACGAAGGATTTTTTCTAGAGAAGACAAATTTTTTTTTCTCTTCCGACTTGATTTCAATTATTTACCTTTTCGAGTCACATAAAGGAAAGCTCCTACCGAGGTAACAACTAACAGGAAAGCCATGGAAGCTAGAAAGATCGTCAGTATTGACAAGCGTCGATGATAACTGGCTCCTGTGGATATCATATCGTTAATCATTCTTTCAAATAAAAGATAATTTTTCGTTTTCGTCGTTCTTCTATGCGATTGTTCAGAGCAAGTTGACCAACGGATAAGATTCTGTCGTTTGTCTTTCTTTTTCTCTATTCTTCAATGATTACGTCGACACATTAAAGCGAAAAAGAATAATCACAAGTTCTTTTTCCTTCTTAAAAGTGGAAGGATGAAATATGAAGAGAGCACCATTGTAGACTGTATGCAATTAGAACAGGAGAGAAAGAGAGACCTATCGGGTGTGTACATCAATTGATGTGTATGTACGAGTGAAAAACGAAGAGTGATGAAACATGTCGGTCGTCTTAGTAACGCATTGTTTGTGCATGTGTTCGGTTAGACACATCTTCAACAACATATTTTCATATTCAATAACATGTACTCATTGAATTCAAACATCTCATGTCTACGTACAACAGTCTGAAGCTGACGACCAAGCAAAGATCGTTCGGTTTTCATTGATTGTAACCGAGCGAAAGATTCTGCGTTGCATATGTCAACTACTTAATGTATTCAATGATTATAGTCTTTAGAGAAAGAAAATTGACATTGACTTTTGATAAGAATTGCAAGAAATACGAGATTCAACGATTTCTTTCGAACACATATGCTCATAAATTTGAAGATTTTTTCTCGTTTCCGTCATTGACATATAAGGAACTCTTTTAAAACAAAACCCCACCTCTAATACTATTCGTTCTCTTTCCTCCATTAATAACGCTATCTGAATCATAAAAGAAAGAAATATTATGTTCAGCTAATTCGCTGTTTTTGTTATTTTCTTTCTTCTATTTCGAGATAATAATCTCCTAGCAAACTCACAATGTAATCCTCATCGAAAAGAAATTATCGAAAAACTTCCAAATTAATCTACTCATTCAATGCAACGCATATGTTTTTGCAAGACAGTATCTTTATTTAACCATGTCCTACAACCAAGTCAGGCACTAGCTCTATTTTATCAAACATTGATCTTTTCATTGCAAAATCTCGCATTGATGAAATGGATCAGTTGGAATATCGGTATACCGATTGGTTTACAATTGTTAATGATTGATTTGAACGGGAATGTAACGGTCGACGATGAATTACTCTATAAGCATTTGTCGAATAGTAAACGTAAGACTATCAGATATTATTCAATGATTTAGATATGATTTTTTTGTGAATAGACCATTTTGAACAACGTACAAACACAACATCGGTGAATTGATGAACTAAAAAGTGCTTTTCATTCGGTTAATGATGCTATTGTTTATTTAGATCTTGAAATGGACCAGTCGAATTATTCTTCGTCTGACAACGGATTACTCCATATCGTCGAAGATCGAACGTTCATCTGAATTTGAAGACTTTTATGATTTTCTCAAACAATTTCATAGTATGTTTTCTTTTCGGCCTGATATCTTTTGGTAGAAGAATGTTTATCTTGGGTTAGCTTTATCAGCTGATGATCGCTCGACACTATCAGATGACGATGAAGGTATTATCAGTGATGATCTGGACGAAAAAGATATCACTCGACGAGCAATTCATCGAGCCTTACTTGTAATCATCGACTTCTTCATTTTCACCCATCAAACACATTTTTCTTTCGTCTACAGAAATGTATCGATTACACAACGACAAAGTCATCGAATGCTTTACAAACAACTCATCATACCACTGAAATGCAAAACTTCGAAACCAATCCGATTGCTTTATATAATCAACAGATTATTCAGATACTTTGTAGTGATACTCTCGAATTAGAAATCGAACTCGCACAACATTCGGTACATGAATTCGAGATTAATTTCGTTCTATTCTGGATATTTTTAGCAATATACAGCGTTGGAAATTGTACCCCAACCATCAACAAATGATAAAACATTGACTAGTTATTATTCTGTTTGGGTTAGATTTCGAGAAAAAGATATTGTTGTCATGTTTTGATGGATTAATTTGTTCTTTTTAGGCCGCACTTTGGAAAAATGTGACATCAGAATATTTACAATTCAATAACGAGAAATGTTTGCGAAAAGTGACGATTGATCTAGACAAAAATGTTTTCCAATCTAACCTCATCAGAGACAATGATCGAATGTTGGATGAAATAACCAAACGCCAGCAGAATTTAAAAAAGACAACTGTAAAAATAGAAGACAATTTACTTCTGAGTTGATGAACCTAACGAAACTAACTTCTCTTCTAGATGCAGACCAATAAACCGATCGAAAATGAATATTGTCTACATGATCGTTTGATGTCTGAAATCAAGCAAGACAGAAAATTGAAGTCAATCGAGAAAATTACAGCAAGTGATTGTCATCGCAAACGTATTCAACCGGTGAAGGTAAAATGTTATCTTTTAAGAAGAATGTTTGTTTTTGAAGTTTTTCTTCTATTTACAGAATTCCAATGAAAGTGATTCAGGTTCCGATAATGATGAATATCGTGATGAATATGGAAGGAAACGAGTTATGGTCGTTGATTGCCTTCTTGAAACATCACCCGAAGATAATATAAAAGGTAAGAAAACATTCTCTCTCGAAACTCGAATTCTCCTTCTCTGATCAAGATGAATCACCAATCACAAATCTAAATGAATCCTATTCATCATCGAAGATTTCCATAAAGAGAAAAGCATCAACTGAAAAAATTAATTATTCAACAATAGAGAATTTTGAATTAGAATACATCTCAATGGAAAAACTCCTTCCGGTTTGTTTTTCATCTATTATCTATAGCTTTCATCGTTGTCTGTGCTTGTCAGCAATTGAATGGTATGTTATTACCTCGCAGGTTTCTTCTCGTAGATTAGTATAATTATTAAGTTTTACCGAAGCAGGCACATGAGATCTTGGCATCTATATACATTCAGAGATCCGTTGTAGAAAATAAGAAGAAAAGAAAGGAAAAAACAGAAAAGAGAGCGTCGATAATAAACGCTCCTAAGAATTTGTTTCCGAATTGTTACCGGCTATGTCAAAGAGAGAAAAAAAGATCCAGCCTACGCACCATAGTGATCCGGTACCGGAGAGAAGAAGAAAAGCTCGACGAAGAAAGAAAGCAAACATGAGTACGACGAGAAATGCTGGTTTATGAGAACTCATTCGTCTATATGGAATAGAAATAAACGAACAGTCTGTTATTATTTGATGTGCTAACACTCGACATAACGCAGAACATTAGTAATCAATTGATTGATCTCTACACTCAAGGATGCAATTACAAGAACGTATTGTACAGGTATCGTGTGCCTTTCTTGTGGCTTAGATTTCCTTGCAAGTTCTTTTTTGAATCGATTACATATTTATGTGTAATTCTTTTCTAGCTTTTAAAAGACAGTTCGGATTCGCTCTCGTTGACCTACGACGAATTTTGTCATATAAGAAATGTTATTACAAGATCGGAATTGGAAACATTATTGTTCGATGAGAAGTTATACAATGAAGTTGCTCAGAGCAAAGTAAGACAATGTTCTCGGAAGCATAGGAAAAAAACGTTTCATTTCTACCTTGGTTTAGCTGTGTTTTACATGTCGAAAGGTTTATTTCAATCTGTTGACTTTCACATTCGGTATTCAATGTAGTGTATGTAAACAGAAGATTTGTCGCAATTGTGTCACACAAGTACGAGGAAATGAGACTGCATATTGAAATTTTCTTCTTGAATATCTCGATTTAATTAGATTACTTTACCAAAAGAACGATTGAATGACCTTCCCATTCAAGCAATTACTCCATTAACATTATCAAAATCTTTATCGAATTCCGAACGATGTCATTCACTTGATAGGCAGTAAGTATTGACACAGGCAAACGTCACCACATGCATCCATACTTGCATCATGAAAAATTCAAATGTTTTTCTTTGTTTGGACAAAGTGAAATGCTTGTTTTTCTTATCCAATCGAACGACGGTGACCGAATATATTAATGAACATCTAAACTTGCTTTAGATCGCCGCAAACGCCGACAATGAATGACGTTCTACATGATCTAAATCCAGATGATGCTGGTTCACGTCGATGTTCGACTCCAGGCAATAGCATTGCTCAAGTCAATTCAAGCCCATGGCGTACAGATCCGATTGACATATGTACAGATTGTTTTTTTCTTCTTCAACAAATCCGAAAGAAGTCTCGTCAACGGCATATTTCGCCAGCTGTAGCATCGAGCTTAGCTTCGTCAACATCATCATCCTTCAATCGATCGCACCATTCGTTTTCGAATTATAATCTCTCAGCATCGTCATCGACATCTTCCATCGCTGCTCTATTAGCTGCTCAGCATCAGCAACGCTCATTAATGGTCAAAACAACTTCCATTCATGGAAATTTAAAACAAACGAGATCTTCCCAAGAGCTGAACGCAACTAACAATCCATTACAAACATTACCAGTAACAACAAATTCAACGGAAAGAGTCAGTCTGTCGCGACAAAATCTTTTTCTCAAACTGCAACCAGCTTATGATATCAAAACGACTAATATCAAAACCGGATAACTCAGTTTTGTTGTTATGATCATTGTTTTCTTCCTATTTTTCACACTCACCCCTCACATTGGTTCTCTTCTCTCCATCTACTCATCTCATGTGTTGTGTGTATGCGTTTAACCGGAACAAATATATACCTTTTCTTTTTCTTGTTTTTTTCTTCTACATTTCAATGATTTACCAAACCATTTCAAAGTGTGTCTTCGGTGAACCTATTTGACAAATTGTCAAATCTATTTTTTCTTTGTACCACCAACATGTAAATAACATCAAATTGAATAAAGAGCTAGTATTGATTTGACTTATTTTCTAATTTCGTCAATTTCTCCTAGATTAGATCTTTAATTTTTCGTTCATCGCACTTATTTCACCAAATATCCTGATCCAAATCGCGCAAGGTATGTACTCTATTGCATCCAATTACTTCCTTTGCTCTAAACTGATTCAAACACAAGTATCCGATTTCAATGAGTTCTACATGAAGTGTTAATAAGAAATTATTGTATTACTAGACTTGTTGTTCTAATCTTCTTTATATAAAACTCATTCCTTTGATTACTTATTGTTCCACTCTACTTGAAAAAGAAAATTTTCAATTACTTTCTTCTATTTTTTTTTCATTAGAACTTCGGATGGTTTCATTGTCTGCTTATCGACATAGTGTAACAATTCTATGTCTTGTTGGTATTAGTCTTTCATTATATGCATTCTATGTGGAAACACGTGCAACAGGTGATCGATCCTATCGAGCAGCATGTGATATAAGTGAACGTATGAGTTGCTCACGTGTGCTCACCTCGCGATGGGGACGAGGATTTGGTTTATTACCCGAAGATTCACCATTGAATATTCCCGATTCGTTAGTTGGTTTGATTTATTATTGTTTATCTATAATTCTTAATCGATCATATACATCAAAAACAATTGCTCGTCTACGTGTCATTTTCTCCGTGCTGACTATTTTCGGTTCAATATATCTGGGCTATATCCTTTATTTTGTTTTACATGATGTTTGTGTTGTTTGTTGTGGCATGTATTTGGTGAATTTTCTCCTATTTATTTGTAATTTGAAATTATTAACAATGACAAACATAAGCAAACAAAAACATAAGAAACAGTAGACATATACACGTATAGAATTATATATATATATATATATGAAAAAAAATGTCGACAAGAAAAGACGAGAGAGAAAATATCTAACAATTTGTTTTTGCTTGCGTTTGTGTTCGTACTCCTCCTCAAGAAGAAAAAAAATCATCATCGTTTTATGTTCTTTTTTTTTCTTTTTTTTCCTCTTCTTTCGTTCTCGTTTACTGTTTTCCATCCTGTCTGCTCTCATTGCGTCCACGAACATAGTCAAACCAGCTGCTAATCAGTCTCTCTTTCTTTCTTTTTTTTTCTACATTTTTTTATTTGCTAGAAAATGGATACGAAACGAAGAAGTTATGCATATTCTATTCATTTCAGGTTATCATTCTAGATAAATCTCACTACTTTTATTATCACTATCATCGTCAATGACAATAATACTGAGAATCAAATAGCAACAAATTTTACCGGGCCAAATTACGAAACATACAAACACACCTCTTATCTGCACGTTTAACAACGCGATGCTCTGGTGTTGTGAGTATTGCTGGTAACAGCTGTGCAAAAGCAATAGAGTTAGGGATGAGAGAGAAAAAATCAGAGAAGTAATAACTTTTGGTTTATTAGTCGCATCAAGCGCTGGTCACGATGTGCACGAGCTTTTTGTCTGTTTTTCTTTCTTTTTGCGTTCGATTTTATCAAGATTGAATTTACTGCATGACTGGTCAGAAGATTATTATTGGTGAACTAATCAGGTACACAATCAAAGAAGAAATATCTTAGAACAAACAATGTATGTCTATGTTGAGAACGATAAAGATTTCCGTTGTTTTCGTATCTCGAAACGACCAAAGTGCAACACTTTGGACTGGAGAGCAGTGCGCTGTCGATTAGCTGTTGCTGCTACTCGTTTTGCTTTTATGCTATCGACGTACAAAGCTTCATATACATAAGGAAGGAAGAAGAGGCTTGTTGTTCTCATTCTCGCTTTCCTTCTCTCTATATTCTGTCCCGGTTTCTCTTCTTTTTCTTTTTTGTTCGATTCTTGTTGTAGATTTTTTGCTACTCTCCTTTCCGACGACTACATTGGTGTTAGTGACGGCCTGCAGTGCAATTGACGACATCGACGCGACACGGACCCTTACCTCTTCCTTAATGTTCTTGTGGTCGCACTAGTGGGTGATCCATTGCCAATTTCGTTGAAGTGCTCTCATCTTATACGGTAAGTATATATATTGATATTGAAAAAATTTTCTTCATTATTGACCTAGCACATGTGTAGATAATAAATGGAAAAAGTTTCTCTTTTTTTCTCTCTTCTCTCTCCTGCTACTTAGTGGTCTCTGATCGAATTAATCGATTCCTGTGTATGTGTGTGTGCATGTGGCTAGTCCACGACAAAGAACAGAAAAGACAGATGTTGTCAGGAAAACGTATTAAATAATCGAGTAGAATTGCCCGAATTAGTTCTATTGTATTCTAATCGTATTGCCAAATTAAAATTTTGGCATGAGAAAGAAGTAGGACTACTTGAAATGACATTCTCGTTTGAAGTTTTTTTTTTCCTTTGATTAATTAAAACCTTCGGTTATTTTAATCATTATTTGCTGATTCCATGTGTATGTGTATATACATATATAAGCTCCATGAAAAAGAAGTGTGATGTCACATAGGATGGCAGCAGCTGTTTTGGGCCGAACGAGTATCATCAAGAGAGAAGAAGATAGCTTCTCTAGTCCTCTTGACGCATTGAATCTACTGATAAAATGAGAGGCATCTCTTGCTCCGTCCCATGTCTGAAGAGCTTTGATTGTCGACACATCGCCATTTAAAAAGAGAACACAGTAATGAGACAAAAAAAGCTAGATTCTCAATTAACCATGAGATAGGCTGTCAGTTAGATTCGATAAAGAAAATGAGAACCCTAGAAAAACGCTTTCCCGACATATAAATATATCTGTGTGTATATATATAACACTACATAATAAGAAAAGAAAACTCATCACTTCGACATCTATTTCAGTACTTTTCATCTAGTAAATAGCCTGTTTTAGATTGAAGAGAAAATAGAAAAAAGTGATAAATGTATCTAACACGATCAAAATCAAAGAAGAAACATTACATTGACATCTCAAGCGGTACATTGCACCTTTAGCTATCAAATCAGACTCTTTTATAATTGTACGCTACACACTCCATTTCCTTTCGTTCGCACATAAATATATTGCATTGCGCGACCGGAAGTCGACGACTGTTCGTTCGTTGTGTCGACCGATCAGTCTGTTCATCACTCATTTTCTTTTTCATTCATCCTTCCTCCTCCTCCATCCTTTCCCTCTTCATCAAACTCGCTGTGTTCGTTTTTCTTGTATATTGCTAATCTCGCATGCAACAGCGTCGGCAATGGTCGACGCTGACTGGCTAGGCTGATGGTGATGAGTACATCGTGTGACGACGAGCAAGAGAGCACTCTCCTCATTCGGTCGGTTTATTTCTTTTTATTCTGCATCTTCTTTTCATCGGTCTATTCGCGTTTTGTGTGCGCTTGATTTAGCTTGAGAACATAGAGACAGAGAAAGAGAGACAGAGAACGATGTGCCTTTGTCTATTATAGATTAAAAAGGGGGGAAACTAACAACGACCTCCGTACGCACAAAACGTATATATATATACATGTATATACATATACACATACATATTCACTAAGACATATCGAGTGGTATACAAGTAGTAGTTTTAATCAATCGAAAACGAGTTCAGACAAATTCACGGTGTCTTACCAAACGAAATATGTCAACTGTTGTTGTCCATCAGGTAATTCATATGAGATATATTTATATTTGTAACTGAAAAGAAAGAAGTCTTGGGCAGTTTTTTGTTTGACAATGATAACAATAACTAAAAGCAATTGATGTTTTGATAGGAAAACTCTTCACACGAGTCGTGACATTATGTCAAGAGAGACGTTTATTTTCATTTTGGTATAACTGAAATAAAATTTGATTTTTCTCATCAATTGATCTTTTTCAAAACACATCACTTTCCAATCGACATCGAATAACATCATTTCACAATGCATGTCGCTATCGCTGTTGTCCTGTTCTGTTACTAATCGCGATCTTTACATATATACATCGAGAAAAGTCGTGTGGTCATTTTTCGTCGTGTTGTTTTCCTCTTCTAACTGTTCGTTATTCGCCGTCCTTCACAAAACACTTCTCTACGTGCCGTTGGAGTGTTATGCTTATATTTATTTGTCACTTTTGTTCACATCGATGTATGCGTACTAAATGACATCATCATCTTCATCGTCTAATCATCGACATCATCGTCAGCTAGATACAAGTCTTGAGCGTCAAGCTCGTCTAGCTGCTGCGAATGCTGTTGCAACTTATTTTTCTTCTCCTTCTCCTCCTTCTTCTTCTTCATCTACACGTCGACAACGTTCGGCATCATTAAATACTACTTTTGACCAGACTCATTGGGTACTTGTCATACCGACGCTGGAGGTGATGTATCTTTTCTTTTACTTATTGTGTACATATAGGCATATATAAATGAATACATTTAACTCCGCCTTCTAACCGTTTTTGTGTTCATTGATGAACACAGCACGAATGACGAGATAATTAAATAGTGTATATAGGACGTGTTTTATTTTGTTCTTGTTAATTCACAGTTGGATTATTGCTAGTTTCAACTAATTTAATACATCTCGTCGACAGTAGTATCTAATGAATAATTCAATGACGACAATTCATGGATGACCTCATATAGTTGTACTTAGAATGCAGCGCAATAACATTGAGAAAACTCAGTGATTGATTCAATTTATTTCAGAAATTCAATTGATATTTGTGCGTCGTTCTTTTTCTTTCTTTCTTCATTTCGACTAATTATTTCTCCTGGTTTTGTTTACATATTTAATCGTTTTCCAATGACCTGGTGTGCCCTCCAGATGATCTTTTATCGAATATCATGCGAAAGATGGAGAACCGGGAAAAGAAGAAGCAGCAGCAATGTGATGAGTAGTATGTTCGTAGATAACAGTCAGTTGCTTGTGAGATGAACCGACTGATCATTAATCAAACTATGTAGATGTGTTTGTATAAATATATATGTGTGTGTGTGTATGTATATATGGTCGATTTTTTTCTCTCTCCTTCTCTTTCTCTCTATGGTATTTATTATCTCTTTCTCTCGACCTCTTCTACTGTTCATCTAAACATTTCATTTGCATTGTTTAAGGCTAAAGCGAGAGAAAGCGTGTAAGTGTTTGCGGTCAAGAAAAAAGTATTTTCATTGTTAATAGATCTAGTTTAATAAATTAAAAGGAAAAAGACAGATATGGTTATGATGACGGCTACAGCTGCTTCAATTTTAGGGGTGAGTCATTCGTAGTTTGATCCGTGTGCGTGCGGGAGAGTGTTTGTGTATTTTTTTAACGTCTAATGACCTTTTTATATGGTGTGGATATATATGTGACAAAGAAACGTAGAAAAAAAAAATAATGACGTGTAATGTGAAGAGAAAAGAAATCAAAAGAATGATGATTACTGTTCGGCTTGTTGTTGAAAAGCGTTTTTGTGTGACCCTGACGTGCATAGATAGATTTTTTGTTCTGCGCTACAAACAAAAAAAGAAGAAGAAAAGAAGAAAATGAGTGTCATGGTCAAAAGTGAAGAGGAGATAGAAACATGTGCAGTATGACTACCTCTATGATCGTCGTAATGTATACTGGAGAGTCTCTTTCTTTTTATGACGACAGATGGATGATTCGTGACATTTATTTTTCATAATATACAAAAGTTTCGATCGAATATAATTGTATTTTATTCTGTTCTTTATATGTTTAGCAACCGGCATCTTATAACACATCGCAAACGCCTTCTTTACATCATTTAATCATTGATTCTCATTCAGCCGGTCACGTTCAACAGCAGCAACAGCAACAGCAACAACAAAGTCAACAGCCCCATTCAACAACAATAGCAAATATGGCATTAACAGCTGAACGTGACGCTTATTTACAACTGGCAGCCCATTCGATGGAACGTTCGGAACAGCTCACGTCACATTTTAATATTCGTTCACCTAAAGCTTATGGTGGTTATGTTGTAAGTATCCCATACAATAGCAAGAATAGTGACCCCACTTCTCATAGAAAAAGAAATCATTCAAATATGACGTAGACCAGCTAATCCTTGCTGTTTCTTCTTCCGTTTCGTCTATAGACATAGAATTAATCGTACATGATGAAATTCTCAAGAATAGGACTAATAGAGTGTCGAATATTAAAAATGGATTGACAAAGGAAGTAGTTCATATCCGAGAAACTCAAATAAATCGCCTAAGACTTTGTTTATACAAGCATTTTGTTTGGACGAGTGTATGCAAACGAAGGTGTTATCGATCAACGAGTGTCTAATCTTTCGATTGCCCAGAGGCTAGAAATCAGTACCGAATCGATATGGTTAATCGTCGAAGGTCTTCCTCGTGCTATCGATCTACCGTAGATGATTAATCAAGCGAGATCATCATCGATACTCATATAATTGATACCAGATTCGTGCGCCACCGTATAGATTTCATTTTACGTACAGTGGTCATATCGAATATGCTTAACACGATAATGAATTTATCAATTTGACATTTTGCATACAGCCAATATGATTGACTACTTTAAAAAAACCTATGTAATTAGAATGTTCGAAAGGATGCCCAGTCATAGAATCGCGTGGATGGTCATTTTGAAAAATTATTAATGATGATGAATCGCACGAATTTCGAGCATGTTCAAATTCGCATGAATGAAAAGCAAGTGAAGTGAAAAGAAAATGATCTAGGCAGAATTCATTAGTTGACACTTGATTATTCTATTGGCAAGCGATCTTTTCAAATTGTCATGCCGCAGTTTACACATCAGTTTCATGAGGTGAGAAGAAAACGAGAGAATATCTTTCAGCGTCGAATACATTTTTCGGATTGAAAAGATGAAAAACGACATTTCCGTTGACATACAAAGAAGAACAAATGATTCTTGCATCTCATTTTGATTAATGTTGTTGATGTCAATCTCAAAGAATTAGATTTCGTGGTTTTTGAATCGAATGGAGTTGAGACGATACGAACACATTCGAGTTAGTCATTTCTACGTTTTTTTCCTTTCTTTCGCTTAGCTTTTCTTTTTGTTTGATTGCTGCACGTCGAACTATGTTATTGTTCGATTAAATGCTGATGACGAGGAATAAGAAAAAGCAAAGAACGCTTCTCTTATCATCACAATTTCTTTTTCCTTGTCTATAATGTCTGTCGACACTCAATTCTTCAGTTCCGGAAGTATCTCTCATTAATAAAACAAAATGAATCTTTTTCTTTCCATGAATTTTTGTTTTCTTTGTTATTAATGGGCCAATCCATTTTGACCTTGAAGAGCACCAATTCTGTCGAGCATTTGGCTCTGATTGTCTCATAATGAGAGGAGATTTCTTTAATACGAAACGTTTGTAACAAGTTGAGATAGATGTTGTTCTTCGAACAGAACTACAAGATATTATGACTGTAATGATATGTGAAGAAATCGCCGAGAGACAGAAAGAACGATCATATTTCAGTCTTCACTCTATCAATAAGAAGGAATCGTTCACGCATCCATTCATTATAGACATATAGATGCATGCTGAAATCCTACTATGCCGGAGCGGCAATACCCGATTAACCTGATATACAGATCATGACATACCGAGTAGTAGCATTATTATTTTTTTGTATGTGTGTATACAAAAACACATGTATATCTATATGTTTGTCAAAGGAAAGTTATTGTTGACTCTTTGCTCTGTTTCTCCCTCTTCTCGTATATACCCATAGGAAATTGTATACATTAAATATTTAATGCCAATCAAGAACGATAGAACAGAAGCAAAGAAGCTTTGAAGTTGTTCAATGAATGGCTGCTAGCAAGAATTGATTAGACTTTTTCTTTCTTTTGTTTCGAAATGACCGAAGTTTCTAGTTGCAATCAGACAGATAGAGAGTTCCAATTAACAGTATAGGAAATCTCAGAACCTTGGAAGGAGTCAAAAGAATGCAGCGCTAATATATGTATATATATATATATATATACGAATTTGATAATATTACTGAAAATGACGGAATCTGAAGTGTGTTGATAATTGGGAATAGCTATGATTCGTTCAAAAGATGCCTACAGTTGTTTTTATTCTCGCTCGCTCTTTCGTGCTTTCATTTTCTTTTTGTTGTTCAGCGATTTTCAATAGGGCAAATTTGATTCATATGTAAATATGAAGATTGATGACGGGAAAAACTAAGATTTGTAAAAGCAGTTACTTTGTAGCACATCGGAAAGAGAAAAATCTTGTCGGAACACATCGCATTACGAAGACAGTCGCTCTTGTCTGATTAATAAGCACTGATGATAGAGAATACGTGTCTGAGGTCGAGTTCAGACTCATAAATTTGTTTTGCTGAAAGATAAATGTTGAGTGATAGATCGAACTATTTTTCCTTTCTGACAAACGATAGAAGAAAACAAGTTTATATTCTATTCTTTAAATAATCAGTCAAGATAATACGATATAAAGCAAAATGTACCACACATTTCTTTTTTTCTTCTCTCAGTTTTTTTTTGTGTGTGTACTTGTCTGTTTAATAGAATCTATCTTGTATATGCACATTTTTCTTCATATGTAGTTGTCGATTGTCGCCTATCAGGAAGGCAAATATTTTGGCCTCGCCTCGTTTTTACAGTATTCGCATTACTATTCATTCATTCTTTTCCTTTCTTGTTGTATATGCATCATGCTACTCTTGCAAAGGGGCTTATTACATTGATGAGTTTTTACTATGATTATATTCGGCCGCTATGTTCTTTCTATTTCTCTCGCTCTCTTCTTCCCTCCTCTTTCTTCTCTCCCTCCCAGTATGCTCTCACTGCTACTATATAGAAAAAAGAAAAAAAGCGGTGCCAGAACGGCGAACGAACGAACGAACAAACGAATATAGAAAGTCGGTCTGTTTGCTCTTCTCGCTCTACTCTATAATCAGTCAAAATAACGTACCGGTAGTATTCACTCGCCTGATACACACGGTCTATAGCGACATATTCATTCGTACGGATACCTACCTAGTCGCTTATATTTTTCTCTCTCACTTCAACTTCATTTCTTGTTCATCATATTCTCTGTCTCGGAGATCGACAAAAAGTCTTCATTTACTGTAGACCAACATTCTCATACACGCATACACGGTAGCTATTACCGGTGGTAGTATTAAATATTACTATCATAAGCGTTGTTTTGTTTGCTTGCAACATGGAAGGCGATGTTGTTTTGCTTGGATTAATGGACTGGAATGCCGGTTCGTCGGCGACACAGCTCATACCATTGCCAACAACAACTGAAGTGTGTTATGAATTGTTGACAGGCGGGGTTTGTATACATCATAAATAATATCAGCTGTGCGTTAGAAGACAGATGAAAAAAAAGCAAACTATACTAAATGTCTTGTCGGTCTTTTCTCCTTTGAACAGTTATAATAAGAAAAACTATCGATAAAGATAATTAGCGACGTCTATGTGATATTATTTTTCTTTTTAAGCCAACACAACCTCACTCTGGTGCATATGATCAATCGAGAGCAACATTCATAAATGGACACCATGCGATTGTTAATAATGGTCTCTCTCCATCATCGTCATCATCTCATCAAACTCAACAACATCTCAGTGATACAAATTTGTATATAAAAAATTTATCACCTGACTGTTCTGATCAAGATCTTGCTAAACTAGTAGAAGGGTAATCATCAGATAGAATATTTTCACATATGAACTATTAAATTATTTGTGTGTTGTAAATAGCTGTGGAAAAGTTAAGTCAATGAAAGCAATCATTGATAAACAAACAAATAAATGTAAAGGATTTGGTTTTATCGATTTTGAAACGAACGAAGATGCGCAAATGGCTATAGCTCAACTACAAAAGCAAGGCTATGCAGCTCAACTGGCTAAAGTAAATTTTGAAAAACACTCGCATCTTTTCGAATTCTATCTTTGAATTCATCTAGTCTTCACAACAACAAGAACAAGACACAACAAATTTATATTTTGCTAATTTGGATCCACAAATGACTGAACAAGATTTACGACAAGCACTTAGTCAATATGGTACTGTTGTTAGTGTACGTATTTTGCGGGATCAACAAAAACAGTCACGTGGTGTTGGCTTTGCGCGTATGAATGACAAAGAGCAATGTCAGGCAATTATTAATCGATTCCATAATCAGAATTTTCCAGGTTCGCAATTACAGCATCTAAATATCACACTGTTTTTTATTTCTTCTATAATAGATTTTTCTGATAAACACGTACATGTTAAATTTGCTGATGCAAATAACAAAAACAAAAAAATGTATAAAACAGGCTTTGAGGTATGTTCGCTTGGATATGATCTGTAAGTGATAGTAACGAAATATCTTTTTTTCCTCAATCCGTAAAGGATATGAAAAGTGGTCATCCAATATATTCAATGGATCAAACTGTTTCATATTCATCACCAGCTGTTGTGTTTCCTCCGTGGTCCCCAATGCCAGCTGCGCCGATGCTTTCTCAACAAGCTTCAAATCAACAACAAGCACAACAGGCACCACAAACTATTGTCTCCGGTCCACCACCGCATCCACATCATGCAGCACATCATCAAATGTATGCACAAGCAGCACAACTTCGACCGCCATTAGGTGTATTCAATCCATCTATTCCGTCCTATATGCACTTGTCACACGGGCCAGGTCCGGAGTCTGGTGCAGCATTTGTAGTGCCAATGCAGCAATTACAACAATTACAAATTGCTAACGGCCACCCGGGAGCCTTTTGTCTGGTAAATCCACCGCATCCGCATCCACATCCACATGCACATCCGCATCCTCATGCTGCAGCCGCACTTTTTATGCAAGCACCACAACCAACAGCTGCACCACCACCTCAACCACAACAACAATCAGCACCCCCACCGACACAAAACGATCCATCACAAGTATGTTAAATTAAGAGAAAATGTTTCTTTTATCTATTATCGTACTCTTCTTTCTCTCCTAGGATCTATCGTAGAACACCTACTGATGAAACAGCCAATCATTTGTTTGTTTTTCTCTTGCCTTCCCTACTTTATCCTTTTTGTTTCGCGCGATCTTCTGGCTTGAACGAGAGAATTTTTGTGTGGAATTTTTGTTCATTGTTCGACCACCAAATTTCTCTCTTGTGTGCCGTCTCTTCTTCTTTTTGTCTGTCTCTGTCTCTGTCTCTCTTTCTTTTCACTTCGTCTCGAGTGCCATTTTGATGATGTTGATGCTGATGAGCGCATGCATATATGTATGTATGTGCGTGCGTGTGTATGTGTGCATGACTGACGCTCTTTCTTTCTCTCTCTCTCTCTCTTTCTGTAGTTCTTTTGCTCTTGGTTGCCGTTGTTGTTGTCACCGTTTGGTCGGTCTTCATTTCTTTTTTTTTCTCTTGTCATCATCTCTTCTACTTTTTTCTCCCATGTAGGCCGTACTGGAACAGCCAGTTGCCTTCTTCTTCTTCTTGTGTCTCTTTGTACGTATGAGACTGAAAACGAACGATGTCTGTGTGATGAGATAAGAAGAAACACGTGGCTCTATTTTTTTGTTTGTTTGTTAGCTTCTTGTTTTCTCCATACACACACACACGCACACATACATACAATAATTCACACGTTCGTTTTACATTGTTGATGTAGTCGTTTTTTCGGTGCGTTTCCATGCATTGATAACAAACTGCGATGAAATGATTTCGAGTAAGACATTTATATATACACAGATATATATATATATATACATGCACACACACAAACAGAGAGACGAAATAAAACAAAAAAACCACAAATGTACGAGAACGAAATATACAATTATTTTATTCTTATTATCGGTACTCGGAAAGAATTTCATTAGAAAATATGATAATTGCATTGTATTAGAACTTCCTTTGATGCTTGCAGAAGATGACATTTTGTATTTGATCAGCTGGAATGTCATTCAGTCATGTACCAAATGAGATCACATCGAATAAAAGTCGGAGTTTGTGATAAACGTTTCTATTATTGTTGAATTTCTTCAGTTGCAGTAAAAGAAAGACAAGGCTACTTTGTTTGTCTAGCGTTTCAATTGTTGTTGAATAGCTTCAATAATTGTATTGATCGATTTATGACGATTGATTTTAATGAATTCCTTTCCTCGAATTGTCAGTATTGAAAGCCAACCATTATTTGCCGGATGTGTATGAAGGAAACGAATGGTTTCCGTTGATTGAGCTAAATTTATTGAAATGAAATCAGGAGACTCAATTGAGTTGATTTCTTACTGAAGGAAAGTGGGCCTGAATGACAATCACGTATTTGTCTAGCGACAAGATCTAATTGAAGAGATGTTGCACGTTCAGCAATAAAGAATTGGTGAATGATTTCAATGGTTTGTTCGAGACGAGGAAGCATCTGCGTTTCATGACTGAGTGAAGTCGATAGAATTTTGCTTGTTTCTTTTGAACGAATCTTTAGAAAGGAAGCAGTAATGATTAAATTGCTTATCGGTCTGAATATTTTACTTTTTCAATCAGCGATGAAGATATTCCATCGATAGACAGAGCTTCTTTCTTTGGGGAGGATAGTGTAATCGTCGAAGAGACATCGTCACTGGAAAATGCAGAGAACAGAGCACGTTTGACACGTTCTGACGGGGTACGTTCTGCATAATGACGAATTTCAATTGGTGATGCTAATAGTTGCTTGTCCGGTGATTCAGGTAATGGCGCAACATCAATATCAGGAATGTTTTCAAGATCAAATTCTGGATGCCAGCGTGCTAGATGTTCATCATTTGGAAGTTCATCGATACTCTGTTGAAGTTTATCCGATAAAAAAGTCTACAAGAAAGAAGCATGCAGGTATGATACACAAACGACTTGATTGTTTTACTCGATGATGTGCTTTAACGGAATTGAGCAGCGCTCGACGAAAACAATCGATTCGTTCGACAATCATCGCCGGAGTGATTTGTACATTAGCTTGAATACCAAAATCAGCTAGAAAATGATCAAATAAGAAGTGTTTTTCAGAATACTTTCACGTCATATACTTGGAGTTATGGTTAGTTCATGTTTCAGTTTCACTGGACTTAATGTTGGCAATTGAATCTTTTCTTGTTGGAAGCCGTACATCGTTGGACAGATTGTTTTGATACGGCCAAGTGTTTGTAACGTAAAATTTCTAGATCAAATCAAACATGATTTTAACAAAAACAGGAATTAATAGTATACCGTTTGGTTTTTTGCTGAATAATGTGTTGACATTTTTCAAATGTATTAATTCCTCCGTTGTTATGGGTATGGCAAACAAGGAAATCTAAGTGTTTATATTGTTCGAGTAATAGCTGATATTTATTTGGCAGAGGTAATTCAATTGTCGTGACAAGTGAATTGAAACGCTCATAGGCAGGAATTGATGGATAACTAAACACAAGAAGACAGTAGGCGAAGAAAAACATAGGACATACAAAAGTACCTTTTCACAGGTGTTTGAGGTGATGGATACTTGAACGGACTGGTGGTTATGTCACCGAGCATATTTGAACGTTTGATTGGTGAACGAGAGTAAGTTGATTTATATTTATATAAATCGTTTCGAAATGCGCGAATACGGGTACGTATTTCTTCGAGATCCTGTTGTTCCATATGACGTTCGCGCATCTTAACTGGACTACGGTGATGAATCGGAGCGCTATGGTGACGAACGAATTTAATTCGAATGGGAATCGAAGATTTTCCATGTGTGTTCTCAGATGAATGATGTGTTTCTTTCATATCATTGGCATCCATTGCTGCTGGGTGTGATGTTTCTTCACGAGGAAGATCAGGTGTACACTGATCAAGATCAGTTTCAAGCAGGGGTGATTGTCGATCTTCGACTTTGATTACTTTCATCGGTTTATCAAAAAGGATTGCATTTGACATATTCGTCGGATGACATTTCGAGAAGAAATCAGTGATTAAAAGCGTTCTGTGTGACATAATTTATCGATTAAAAAGCATCGAACACAAATAAATTAATAATAAGAACAATTAAAGCGCTGTTCTTGATCTATCTGTCGTGAGTCGAATGGACAATGGTCAGTATGATTACGGCCTTTGTTGACCATTGACTAGGTCATTCTATCCTCCATATCATCCATAGATGGCGATCATTGTATACGGTCTAGCTAACGAATGTCTCGAGTTCGCAACTAGATCAAATAACTCACAGCATGTTATGACGGCTAAGTAATCGAGATGATTGCACTTTAACCTCTGTCAAGCGAATGTCTATCATAATTATTAAATGACTTGCAAATTAACATATGTCTGCGTCTTCATATCGCGATATGCCATTGAGGTAATTGTGTGCTTCGTCATCAAAAATAAGATTATCACAAGCTTACATCAGCGAATCTGCATGTATAGAATACCAAAAGTCATAATACGTCGTCGGTTCGGCGACAATCGTAATAACCACATTTCTCGAAAGTATTCGAAGAAGGTCAACTCATGTCAAGAAAAATAGCTTAACAGTATCCTTTTAACTTTCGTCGTAACTGACCTTGCAAATATTGTTTTAAGTAGCAAAACATGTATCGTGAAAAAACAACAAATCTGAAAGTGTCTTTTCCAGGAATAAGTAGTCATGCCGATCGAACTTGTCAAATCGGCGAAAGAATTGCTACGCAAAAGACAGATCTTTCGTGCCTTAAATGAGCACACCAGAACATCTATGTTTGCTTTTTTTGTTTCATGTGAAATCTCACCGAAAAAGTCACTCTTCTTATTTGAAATGTGTTGACACCCGTAATGTGGTAGATGTTTTTGTGATGTTTAAATTTCTAATGCACTACCGAATCATACAGTTTTGAAAGAATCAAAGAATAAATCTTATTTAAACAAATCATTCTACTCTGTTACTGTTCTTATTTTGTTCTTGTCATACAAACGAACTACGAAGACATTTTTTAAAAGCAGTGAGATTAAGCAATGTATGCCAATCGTGATCAAACGTACACACAATATGAATTACCGGTGAGCATTGTTCATTCGAACATCACACGTAAGAAAAACTATGGCCATGTTTGTGCTTTAGAATGAATCATATTCGAGTAGAGACAATTTTGTCATTCGGGTAGCGCGAAGTGATGTTTCAACAAATGCTGCTTCTAATGTTCCAGTGAAATCGTTTGTGTTATCTTTCATAATTCATTTTATGCATTATCGTACTTTCTTCAGGTCAGCTGGATGCATTCGAATACTAATGATGATTGCGTGTGGAATTGTAGGTTGTCTTCTCGCTGCTGCTGTTATCATTACGCTATATGTCGTTATTTACGACAGCATCAATGGTAAGTTGTTAGTTCTCATTTGAAATACTTGTTTAGAAAACAGTCGAGCACTTAGAACTTATAGAGCGACGCTCAGAGAGATTACATTTGTATAGATATTTTGTAAAGGTAAACTTTATTTTGGTCAGGGAGTGGAACAACTACTACAACATCCACTACCACGACTACTTTGTTGACTGTGATCACCGGCGTCCAAAATTATGCAGTGATGTTAAATGCCAACGGTTATCACGGAATTTATTATATCCGTTATTATTCAGCAACAAATACTTCAACTTCGTTGAGCATCTCTTATCCAATTGTTTATCTTAGTGGTACAACTTTTTCAACATCATACATAAATAATGCTTGGTATGGACTTAGTACTAATTGTGTTGGCTCTACTGGTGTCGCAACGTGTACAGCTGTATGCAAATCACTTTCTCGAAGTTATGTTGGAGTAACATCTAGCTGTACAAACGGATATTCGGGTTCCGTTGGATCGTATGTTACACCTGATTATGCTGTTTATACCACTTCGGATAGCACGTCTACACCATGGACTGATCATGGAGCAGCATCCACCTGTGTAAATGCAATGTCTTCTTGTGACTGTTCCTTATAGCGAAATAGTTTTCATATGTTGACTGAAATATTGTGTGAATGTGAGTTTTAAACACGATCTTTTCCGAATAT